GGAGTCGGATCTTGAAAATCCAAGGGACACTCTATTCCGAGTTTTTTCGAGAAGCTGCAGTGCAGTCGAGCCATCCAGGCTTATCGTGGGGGAGGCCGACCGGATGAAGGAGTCGCCATTTAGCGGAGAACAATGTGATTCGTTTCTAGGATGGAATCTTATGAGTCTTCTCAAATGCGAGAAACTCGTGTCGTGGTGTCGACTTCCTTCTCCTCCCGGGAAAGCTCCTGCCACTCCTCTAACGATGATGGAATTCATTGACCGGAAGCATGGATCAAGTCTAGCCACGATCAAGGGAAATCTGATGTTCAGTCAGTGGATCGATAAAAGGCGATTACATTCGCATTGGGGGGAAAATGAAAATCGTATAGTCCATAGAAGGATATCCGTGGATAGGGGGGGGGCGGAGATTGAAGAGCGAGTAATCGAGGGCTCGGGGTAATATCATCCTCTCAGGCGAGCAGTTACCTTGCTCACTCGCACACCCATCTCCGGAATGGGGCACTGATGAGAGACAGACCCGCTATGAAGGGACTTTTCAATCCAATGAGACATTGGAAGTAGCTCCACGTCTCTTTCAAGGGTTCTTCGCCCCGGATCCTAGCGGGACATCTCTCACGAGCATCTTGCGTCTCAAGGTCTCCGTATTTTGTACACATACATCGTACTTCATCTGGGAGCATTGGAGGAAGATGCAGAGAATTCGAAAAGTATTTCTCCCGCCGAATAGTGAGGATGGAGGATCTATTTTCTAAATCATACATGGACTCAAAGAAGATTCATAATGACTACGATCTGAAGTCAGACTCGTTGCTCGGAGAGATGCTCTCATAGACGGCCAGTACTGTAATCAGAGTATTCAACGATCTTCTGTGGATAATTTAGCCTCGTCCACGCGACGAGCGCTCCTTGCTACAAGTCTCCCAGCGAGCTTGATGCCAATAATATCGATATCTTTGAGTGAGCTCAATTGTTTACCCCGACTCCGAAATCGATCCCAGAGACATTCCCACAGCACTCAAAGATAGTATACATTCGCTTCATCATCCTTCCCTGAGTAATCCTTCGGATTGCCTGACTCATCCCATCGACCTTAACGATCGCCTAGGTTTTTTCTGTGGCCATTACTAATTTGACCGATCCTCCCGAAGCAAAGCATATTTTGAGACATAAGATCTCGGAGCTCTATGGGAGTTTGCCTGATGTTTCCTTTCCAGGGTACCCTCGAGCAATATGAGCTTCATTCCGGGGAGCCGATACCCGGCATCCTCCATCACGATTGTTGTTCTGCTCCCAGAAAATTTCCGGCACTCTTCTATCCAGCCATGGTTTCGTCTTCGGACGTTTCGGAATTTCCAGGGAGGTACGCTGGTTAGTTCCTGATTCTGAATTCCCCGAGCCGTTCCTCCCGTGCATTCGAGGAAGCAGTAGACTGCAATGGATACCTCGTCCTCCGACTATGCTGTCATTGTGGTACCTGTCGTAGTTGAGAGGACGGATATCCGTCCCTTTGCTATCTGCTCTGTTTTTGCTTGCTGGGGAAAGAGTTTCCACATCTCCGAAGGCGTGGAGTGGAATCTGGATTCGCATCCACTCTAACCGAGTAGGGGGAAGATTCCACGACTGCAATACTTCTGTTGGTGACATCATTTGTTATACCCAGGGACGGTGATTTCGACGAATTGTTTTTGCTCGTTGTATGGTTCGCAAACAGAGTGTCATGGGCGGAGACGAATCATCATGATCCACAGCACATCCGGCGCGATTTTCCGCGGGAGCGATCGGTGACTTTCCCCGAACCTCAAGAGAAAGTTGTTTTTTGCCGCGGCTCCAGCGACCGGGACCGAGAGTCGGTCTTGAGGAACGCCGAGGGACAATAATTACCAGCAAACGTCGAAGAAAAAGTTCTCGATGCGCGAATTGAGAAAACGCGTCCCCGTTTTTTGTGTTGTTTTTCGATATAACCTTGAGCGTGAAGTAGCATCCCCGATTTCACCGTCAACCCGCCAGTTACATTATTCTCATGCGTCCGCTCAGACGCATCCTATGCAGGCATCTGTTGTCGTGCCGGCTTGATCGAGAGCGGGGAGTTCAGAGGACGTCATTTCATTCCATTCTGAGTTCTGAGGACGTCAGGTCATGGTTGATCACCACTATAAGAAAGCATTCGCGACGCTCAAACCAATAACAATTGAGAAGTCACTCTCTCTTCGAGCCGAAATCGTTCGGCAATAGCACATTCTAGGGCTTAGGGCAAGTCGTGTGAGAAGTGAACGACTCATTCCCGCTACCCGTGAACGACTTCGATGCTCTCGGTCGTGACTGGTGATCCAAGAAATGAAGGGGCTCACCGCTCCATCACGCGCAGGCTGACTCTGGAGGTTGAAGAATGCCGCGATATTAACAAAGGCCACGGCCCCAGATTCGAAGGGGCTCTGTGTTGCACCGAAGTTCACCGGATTCCCGTAGCATGCCTGGGAAACATGGATCAGAGCAACTTCGCTCGAGACCACTCATTCTCGAATTATCTCATTCCGCTGATCAGGGGTCGCGGAGATACACGCATCTCTTGTCACACCGTCTGTCGTCTGCAATCTTCATAATCTACGATTCGGATGATCCTTCCCTGAAAACTCTCGGTCTCTATCGGGTATCTGGCTTCAGATATTCCAGGAACGTGGTGATTCGATTACTATTGTCGTTCTCGTGTCGAAACTTGTAGAAGTTCCTCGAAGCTCCGGGGAGCTAAGAGAAGGGGATCACTATTGGAGACTCGTATGAGTGAGCTCTCGTATGAGCGAGGGGGTCTCCTCGTGCGGGCATTCCCCTCAGCCCGTAATCTAGAAGAGAGTTCCTTGGAAGGAGGTTCCGGAATTGTCTCTCGACTCCGATTTTTTTCACGACACAATGATTTTTTCCCAATGGGTTCCCCGGCATTCCAGAAAGGAGCGAGCCGGTTTCCCGCTCAGCGGGATCCATTTCCCGCTCGAGGAACTATTCACTCAAGGAGGTCTCGTCCCCATCGCTTTGAGGAAACTCTGATCGCCCCAAAGTACATATTATCATGTTCTACGACTGATGACACTCAAATTTCTCTGACGTATCGGACCTCGCTCCAAGACTGATGGGATCCATAAGTCATTCATGCAACGTTTGAGCTAACTCGCGATCCGAGAAGTCAGTTCCTAATGAGCCGATCAAAGTATGTACAACCCGTGTCACGAGAGGAGCCTCTCGGGAGATGAAGCTGAATTCAATCCCGACCTCAATCGCAGTGGCTCGGGGAGCTGAGGAGACTTCGGACAGATATTCCAGGGAAGCTCTTACATCGTCCACGGGGGTGCTTGGATAAGCAATTTCCTGAACATGATCGGAGGGCGCCTCAGAACAGGAGAGGCACGAGTCCTCCGACCTCGGTGATTTGAATCAGTGCCCCAATTTGAAGGGGGTAATCTTGATCCTGACTGAGTCCCGTGTCCTCTACAGAAGTTCCACGGCGGCACTCTTGTAAGGAGCTTCTTCAAGGGAGTAGGCTCGAGTCTCTGAGGGATACCGCGGATATACGTCACTTTTTGCGTCTCGAGCTCCTCCGTGGAAACTTCTGAAACTACGTTTCCGTGTACGCTTTCAATTTATTATGATCGGCAGCGTCACTGATTTTTTCTGTACACCAAGGGCCCTCGTTGTGGTCCAGCCTCGATCACTCATGCTTCGCAAGTCGAGCCCACCCTCAATTCTAGAGGCTTGCGCCAAGAGAGTCGTCTGGCATTGATTGCTAGCTCGGCCCCTTTCTCTGGGACTGTCACACAGGAGCTCTCGCCGATGACCCCGATCCAGGCCGCTGCGCAGATGGAAGCAATTGAGGGTTGAGGGCATCTTCCAGCGCCAAAATATCAGGATCCCATTGTCCTGAGCCCCCGCGACTCGGGATAAGTCCCACTGTCTGATCTCAGAGGTCTCCGACCGGGGCTCAAGCATGCGGGGACGGCCATGTGTCGAGTTTTCCTGCATGGAGCCCATCTGACTCTCGTTCCGACGTGAGAAAGTCTCCTGAATAGCTCGAGCGGTCAGATCGAAGTTCGCCGGCCTCCTTTCAGCGATATGTTTTCCGCTTTTGCAACTCAACATTTGACGGTAATTTCCGATTTAGGAATTCGCCACATCCGCCCCTGCTGTTTCGAAAAATGAATTTTCTTGTGCCTGCCTGAGTGCCGACTGCGGACACCCAGCGGGCCAATTTGCTTTTATTATCCTTCGCTCACAACAGAGCCCGACACATGTTTGTTGAAAGTTACGGCGCGGCGACCTTACATAGCAATGCCAGAGACAAGAGCTTCTGCTGACGAGAGGGACTAATTTACAGATTTCGAGGGAGTTCAGCAGTCTTCCGTGACACATAATTGTGAGTACGTTTAGAACAATCGACTCTACACACGGCGATAATGCGCCTCTCCCGGATTCGAACGCGAGCGCCCATCTCGGAAAACTGCGTCCTCCTCGTCGGGCACTGAGCACTCCCATTTTCCGGAGTCGCGGAGTCATTAACAAGCTTCCGATGTGCACAGCATTGAGGACCAGTGGTCTGCTCAGATGATAATGAAGTTGCTATCGACCGACATTTCTCATAATTGTAGAAAGGGCCGGTTCTGACGGAGGTTATGCGACAATGGTTACAAAGAACTCGGAGCCTCACTTCCGACAGGGACTCCTCCCCGTCTGATGATTCCAGCAGCTTCAATACGAATGAATACGACTCTAGCCATCTATCTCCAGAGCAGGACACGAACAGACGACCTAGACGGAGAGCTTGCTGCAATTGGTGCCGGTTCGCCGCTCGCCTACTTGGTAAACAGGGAATCAAGGAGATTCTCGGCGATATCGACCCAGCTTCGATCTGGGCCAATCCACGGGTCGGCGGATCGGTGCCCAGCAGTAACGTGGAGTTTGAAATTCAAGAGAAGCTCCCCAGCAAGAAAAGTTCGGACTGCTATCTGATAAGGATGTCTCATTCGGGCAAGCTGTCAGTTCTGAAGTGTAATGAGAGACGAACGAGAAAACGTGCTGCGAAGAACATACGGCTGAGGCGTGAACTGAATGTTTGGAAAGCATTGTCCAGCCACCCAAATGTGACGAATCTCTACGCGAGCTTCGAGACTGAAAGATATCTATGCTACGTGGTGCAATATGTACCCTTCCGATCCCTCGATGATCTGATTCGTCATGGAGTCACCTTCGAGCGTCGAGCTTTGAAGAAAGTATTCGCTGAGCTGGCGTCGGTTCTTCACACGATGCATGCCGTTGGAATCATGCACAGAGAGATAACCTGTTCGAACGTACTCCTGTCTAGAGGACACAGCTGCTTGCTAGGTGATTTCAGTTCGAGTGCTGTCGCGACTCTTCGCAGGCGGCGAACCGGTTCCCTGGCCTTTATGGCTCCGGAGATGCTTGCCCGAAGGAGCTATAACAAAGCCGCTGATTGGTGGTCGTACGGAATAGTTTTATACGCGATAAATCACAAATTCACGCCCCTGGCTATGCATCTGAGAAACAATGGAGTCGACCTGGAGGATCTCAGCGAAGGAGACAGGCATCGATTGGCAGCCAATGTCAAAGTTCGTGTCGACGCTGGCTTGGCCATGGCAACGAAGAGCTTCATCACGGAGTTACTACAAGAGGAGCCCGAGAGCAGATTGGGTGCCCGTCACGGCGATTTCGATCTTCTGCGCAATCATCCATTCTTCATTGGCTACGATTGGCATCATCTGATCGCGGCTGAATCAGAAATTATCGCATCCCCTACAACTTCTTCACTACTTGGAGACTGTTCGGACTCATCCGCGCTGTCTGGGCGCGATCATTCCAACGGTCAGACAGCCACGCAAGATTAAGCATGTTCTTAGCAATCAGCACCGCTTTGTATAATTTCGGTATATGCCTCCTGTGTGGCAGAAGGTCTGCAAGCTTCTATCTACTGATTGACGAAGCTATATTTGGATTCGATGCTCTTGTCTGCAAGCACTCGCTCGGATGCATCGGATGCAAGAGTCTCGTCATTCGTTTTCTCAGATACGAATCTTATTTAGTTCTTCAACACTCGAAATTCTCGACAAAAATTTGTGCGCGCTCCAGATGACTCGTGACTACAGAGAAATCAGTTTCCCCTGGCACCCGTGGCAGGAGGTACACTTGAATCCATCGAAGGATACCGAAGCTGATGCCTGACTAATATCTTCGAGAGTACTGAATATCTCTCGCGTCAAAACCTGGAATTCAAGCGACCCTTGAGCGTCATCTCTCGAGGCTAGCGCCGGGGCCGTATATACCCAGCGATGAGCACGGACGGAACTACCGCGTACCTCTCTGTTCATCTGTGAGCTGTCCGTGTCGCCGAAGGAAGCGGCAGTCCGCGGATCCGAGACATTCTCCTTCGGTGGTGCGGGAACCAGTCTACCCACAAGCGCCTGAAGTTGGCTCACCTTCTTCCGCAACTCCTCTCTGGAAAGCAAGGTAGTCGTAGAAGATGCCGACGGACTCCTGGTGACCGACAGGGAAATTTCTCAACGATTTCTTACCGATCTGAAATGAGCTGATTCATCTGGGCTTCCTTATCCAACTGCCGTCTGTTGAGCGCAGCTCGTTGTTGCTGATAAAGCTGTATGTAATCGGATATAGTGTCTGTCTCCATCTGGAGTTGAACCACCTGATGCTCCAGGAAACTCTTCTGTCCTGAAAAGAATTACCATCGAGGCTGGTTCACGTCGACTTACAGCTACGCAGCAGAATCTGCTCAATCATCGAAATGTCCTCGATATGTCTACTTGAATTTCATCGGCTCACCTTCCAAAGTCTCGATTCTCTGGAGAGCTCCTCTGAATTTCGCTAGGAGCTCGTCCTTGCAGATCGAAGTATTCTTCTCGGAATCGCGGGCATCTGGTTTCAAGCTCGATTAGATCTCTGCTCAGTTATACCTCATGGGGCAGCTCATCTGGCACAAGAGGATATTGAGCTTGCGGAATCCTCCGAACAACTCACGTTTCGAGGTCGACTCTCTACTCGATGTGGACAAATCATCTGTATCCAAATCGTGATCGCCGGCTGCCCTCACTGAGTGCTCCGGCGTCTGCTCGACGAACTCGTATTCGGAGATCGACTCACTCGGTGAATCGTTCTGAGCTTTGGGCTCTGCGATACTGCTCAATTGTTCACTCGGACGGCAATTGTTCGGCGGCTGAAATTCCGGACTTCGCATTCGTACGCAGTCTCTTCCAACCGATCAGACCGGGCTGACGAGGATACATGAGCATATTTGGACTACTATTACTCACAATCTTCGACTGCAGCTCCGCGATAACTCTTTGACACGCAGCGTGTTGTTTCTCAAGATTCTCGTATCGTTCCGCCCATTGCGCCACCGTTTGAGACTCATTCGACTGGGATTGGTGAGCTGTCGTGGGGATCTTCGCTCGGCGAACTTCGTTCTCTAAATGAAGTGCTCGATGCTTCTCAGCGTCGAGCTGTTCTGTGAGATCCAGTTTTTCATTACTCTGAAAGACGGAGCGAGTCTCGTCGAGTCGCGATCGAATGCTTGGAGTGATACTTTCGGGGGAAAGCTCGAACACGCCCGTGCCAGGAATCTGTCCTTACCAGTCTAACGAACACATCTTGAAGCTCCTCGAGTTGACTTTTCAGCTCGCGATTCTGAAGACAGGCTCGACTAGAATCGAGTTTAGCTTTTTGAAGCTGTTCACCGGTGACAGCCATCTGAGACCGCAAGCTTGCTAGTTCCTGATAATATTGCTCTGCCAACCGTTGGGAAGCCTCCAGCTGCATCTTCATGACGTTCTCTTCAGCGTCGATCTTCCGCCTCTCGTCACCGAAATCACGGTGGGATTCGCATTGCGTCTCGACCGAAATTTTCTCACGGGAAACGATTCCGCCAGATTCGGCTGGGGGGCCCTCCACGGGCGCTGGGATTGAGTGACTTGCCTAGATGGAAAGACAGGCAATGAAGGAACGTGTTTGATAGTGTCCGACAGTAGAATTGAATTGGATGTCCTCCCTGTCCACTTGGCACTGAAGTTCGCACCGTCTGCTGGAGCAATTGCAGCTCATGAGATAGTTTGGCGATACGGTCCTGAAGTCCCCGGTTGCTCGCTTCGAGATTTCGCGAGATGAGCTCTGCCGCGCTCTTCTCGCTGGTGGCGGTCCGCAATTCCTCCCGTAGGGCGTCAAGCTTGAAAAGTTTCGAATCGATGAGACGAAAAGGTCAAGAGATGTATAGAGCTGAGATCCAGGGCTGAGACCCCTACACTGAAGCAGAGTCCCCTCACCTCGTCGTTGCTCGCCGTCGTCACGGTCGAGGCGTTCTCATTGCCGCCTGACAACTGCCGAATATATGCCTGAGCCACTGAGAGCTCTTTCGCGGTTGATTCCAGAGCAGATCTTTTCTGTTCGTAAGCTCTAAGCAACTGGCTGAGCTTTTCCTCGGAATGTTTTCGTTGCTCGAGAAGATCCTCTATCTGCTTCTGATGAGCCGTTTCGGCTGCGGTGGTGAGAGCGCCATTCGAACTTGGAACATTGAGAAAATAGAATGGCGGAAGAGGCTCGGACAACGCACTCGTAATATTCAATCGATGATCCTCCATCGCTGTAATTCTTACCTTGCGCTAGTCGCGGAACTCTGAACACGTTCACACTCGGCCCGTAAAGCGTCCATCTGGCCTTCGGTCGTCGTAATTCTCCCCTTCAAACTTCGCACTTCCGATTCATATACTTCCACCTCGTGCGTTTTCGCGTAGAGTTGGTAATCCAGGGCTTCAAGCGATGCTTTCAAGCGCGATTTCTCAGCCACCAGGAGGTCGATGGTTTTGTGAGCTTGAATATGCGATTCTTCTAAGGAATGGATCCTAGCTAGCATCGCCTGCCGCTGAGCCTCCGCCGCGGCCGATTCTCTCAGAATTTCTGAGCATTGACGTTGTATTTCATCCAACGTCGGCGGTGAGTTTGCTCCGCTGCTGGCCTGCGTGCTCATCAGATATTGCAGCAGAGCTTGCAACTTGGCCGGGAACGGAAATGTCAGGGCGCCAGCTGGAGATGGGTTGCTCCTCGGCGATGTAGTCCCCGCTATCGGAGCGGGGTTGGTCGACACACCGAGATTCGCGCTCGAGGAGCTCGGTGACGCTGGAAATTGGGTTTCTCCCGTGACATAAACTCTGCTTCCTCGGCTCCATAGACACGGACCATCTCACAATTGACCACCTGACCCAAATAAAGTTCAGGTACTCACGACTCGGAAGAGACGCCGGAGTAGCGTTTGGGTCTCGAGACACCGCGACCGTCGAGGGCGGACGTTGCACAGCCATTTGTCCCGCGTCAGAGCCCTGTACCCTTCTCCTTTGGAACTCCTCGAGCTTCCGGGGAAAAATATCCTTCGATCATTATAACGTTCACGTTTCTTTTTCCCTGCCACCAAGCGGGGATACAGAGGGAAAAAGTCGAAGTTGTTCCGTGGAATTCGTCAATCAGAATGAGCTATTCCTCGGGACTCTTAATCACACCCGTTCTCGGCCTTGCCGAAGTGATTCTGCAGCAAGCCATTCAGAGAATCCCGCCCTAGCTTAGCGACTGCTCCTGCTGCCGTCAGCCAGCTCTACACCAGGAAATCTCACGGCACGTCCGATCATATTGTCCGAGCTGTCAGCGGATTCGGCTTCTAATTGACGGCCCGCTACTGAGCGAAGGAGACAGACCATCGTCAAAATTCGAAACTGTCAAACCTACCCGACGAAGACCCTCGTTGATGTGCTGCTCGCGGTCTTGATTAGAGGTTGCCATGCTGGCGGTCCCCAAAAATCGCCGAGCTCCGTGAGATTGGCACGGTTGATGGCTGTAATTCGCTACTGCTCCGTTTTCGTCTTCTCCGCAGCGGCGGCCGCCAGCTAGACATGAACTCGTCTTGAACACTTATGCGATCCTTCTGTGCGAATCTTATGTCTTGTGAGCAAGCTGAAGGTCTCGCACGACTTCCAGAATGCTAATATTGATAAGACTGCGCACAGAACGAACGCGGATTTAAGTTCCCTAATAAACTGATGTCGCTGTACAGTGGAGTCGATGATGATGAGATGATGTCGATGATCTTTGCACGAAGTTCTTGCGGAACGGGGCGGCCCCTTCTTTTTTCTCCGATCCCGTTCTCCCGCCTGGAACCGTCTCCATTGGGGACGGTCTCTATGAAGGATTCTTGCAGACCTCCATCAGAGAGAGCATCGAAGCATCAAGATTCGTTCGACATCAAGTGGGCCCCCGAAACCGGACATTTCTCATACGCTTTGAATTTCGAGGTTCACTGCATGGGAACAGCTCAGTTATCCAACCGTGGACGTGACGCTATTTCTACCGCCCATGGATAGTACAGGCGGTATTCGCTTGATTCGAACGAGCTTGAGCGTCAAGTAGTTCAAGAAGCTTGACCGGATGGAGTCGTCATCGCTCGGAAGCGTTCTTCAGATCGACCATCAGATCAAAATCGCCAGGATCACCAACTGGGGGAGAGTTCTCCCTCGATCAAACATGAGTATCTGGAAATGATTTTCGTGAACTCGATTGAGCGTCCGAAGGCTCTATGTTCTATGTGAGCTCCTCCATTGGAGCCTCGAGCTCCGAACTCCCTTCGAGTTTCTGGAGCTCCTTTCCCTCTTACCAATGGGCAAATGTCGTCACACAAACTACTCTCCTCTCTCGAGCGGCTAAGCAAAGACGGGGAGAGCTGCGATATCGCCAAGGTATTCTCCGGTGCTCATCGATATTCTTCGGCTTCCGATTCTGGTATCCCATCATGCGGGACCTCAAAAACCTTTTCCCAGCCATTTGTCAAGAACACTACCCGCCCTCGTCAATCAATCGGAGCTCTCAGCGAGGCAAGACGGTTTATCATCTCGTTGTCGATCACGTTTCTCGTCCACGCTATGATCACTTATCCGAGAGACGAATCGGTGGCATCGGCGGGGCGTGGCACTGACGATCGAGAATCCCAACCGTCATCTCTCGCAAGTAGATAGCGAGCCTCCGCATCGGCCCCCACCCCAGAACATAAAGTGTGCTCTCCTATCTTACGGGAGACATTACGGAAACCTCCGTATCCCGCAGAATCGCCCGGATGCGGGAAATAGCTCCGGGGCACTCCTGACTACTGATATGTCCCAGAGCTCTACTCAATTCTAGTTCATTCCGGAACGATTACTCCGTTCCTCCTCCGAATCTCTACATCGGAGCTAGCGAGGATCAAACAAACTCTGGAAGCGCCCGCTCCGTTTCTATAGCCGTCTGATACAGCCCTCTATCAGATAGCCAGCAGAGTCTTCCTAGAAAAAGCTGAAGACCCTTGAAGTCAGGAAAGTACCGTCGTCATCGGAACGGCCGAGTTCCTCAGTGACGACCGAGATCTCCGAGACCCTCAGCCGCAAAATCACGAGCTTTGCCCAAATACTCCAATCTTTCGGCAACGAACTCAGCTGCCGGAAAAACTGTTCGAGTACCAGTCTGTGTGAGTCGCCTGTCGCCTGTCGTCTTCTGTCTGAGAGTTCACCGGCGGCGACCCTACCCGCGGAACAGACGGGAATTCCAAATTCCAATCCCCTTCTCCTCTTCCTTTCGCTCCTACTCTCGCGGCGGCAGCTCGGACGGCGCCAATTCAAATCAAGTGGGATGACAGTCAGAGATGCCTCGCGAAATCCTCTCGAGAGACCTAGAGCGCAGGTCCGTCACGGAGATCTGAACGGCTTTGAATTAACCTGGAGAAACCTCTCGCACATTCGGACCTTCGTCCATGCCGGTGTGCCAAAAGTGGTAAACTCCAACGTTCAGCCCTCGCTCGAGAGCATGCGCTCAGCCGCAGCCGATGTTGCCATTTACACTTTGAAGGTTCCAAAAGTCGACGGAAGACCAGTTTCTGGAACGTTGATCATAATCATTGTAAGTAGGCCGTCTCACGTTTGAACCAGTGCTCAGGAAGCAGCCGGGACAAGATTTCCGGCTACGGACGCGACACGCGACTCTCGGAGGGGGCCCTCGCAGGATTGCGGAGCAGTTCTGAACGTCGTCGTCGTATTCGGCTTGAAAATGACGGGAGCCTTGACGGACTATCATATAAGCAATCGATGTAGGGGCTCACTGATTTAGGAGTAAAATCGGGTGATGAGAATGAGAGTGACGGTATCTATCAGAGGGAAGCCTATCCTGGCTGAAAGTCAATCCGGTCCGGCTCGGGAATCCGCGCGATCTCCTGCTGATCATCCTTTGCCCCATGAGCTCATCATTGATCTGACTTGCAGTTCTCTCCTTGTATACCGTGGAGGACTGTCGACGATGTCGTCTCAAGATGTACCGAAAACGATCCCAAACACTATCAAGTTTGTCTTCGGAGGAGTCGCTGGGTGAGTGGATAGCACGGGAGCCGGATATGCGAGCATGATTACTCCCTCCGGGCCCCAATGTACCTTGCGCGGATGACCGGACGAGCCCACATCGTATCTCTCGGCGCCAACTTTGAAATTTCTCGAGATGATACATCGAGCGACCTGCTATTTACTCGACTGGTGTTATAAATATATCTGGGGCCGCTCGGGGTCACAGTTGACACACGCTTTCGAACGAGGGACAGCATTGTGGAAGAAGTCGATCTGCTGGCACTGGAGTCAACGCCGTGGGCTCGATGAAGGTTCTCAAGCGCGAGTCTGATTTCCAGAATGGGTGCGACTCTCTTCGTGCAACCGATGGATCTCATAAAGAATCGGATGCAGCTGAGCGGGGAGGGCGGTAAAGCGAGACAATATACCTCGACAGCGGCTGCGGCCAAGTCCATATTCAAGCAGGAGGGTTTCTCCGGATTGTATAAAGGCTTGAGCGCCGGACTGCTCAGACAAGCGTCGTATACCACTGTCAGAATGGGAGTTTACACATCGCTCTTTGAATACGTATCCGGTGAGTTGCGGGAGGGTAATTATTACTTCCGATACTTGGTGATGCGTGCCATTGACAGCAACTTGTCCATATTATCCAACTTATCCATCCCCCAGGGAACTCTAAGCCGAACTTTCTGACGAAAGCCGCCATGGCCATGTTCGCCGGGGCAGTCGGTGCCTTCGTTGGCACTCCGGCTGAAGTTGCACTGGTCCGTATGACGACGGATGGTCGGCTCCCACCAGCCGAACGGCGTGGTTATAGGAATGTTTTCGATGCGATTATACGCATCTCTCGTGAAGAAGGAGTATTGACTCTCTGGAGAGGCTGTGGACCGACGATGGGAAGGGCCGTCATCGTCAATGGCGCTCAACTGGCTTCTTATTCGCAAGCAAAGGAGTTCCTACTTTCCCGCGAAATCGTCGCAGATAACATCGGTTGCCACACTGCAGCAGCGATGATCTCTGGGCTAGTCACAACGGCTGTATCCATGCCCGTCGACATCGCAAAAACCCGGATCCAGAACATGAAGACCATTGACGGCAAACCGCAGTACACCGGAGCCTTAGTAGGTCTCTCCCCGATCTGAGAATCGTCGTGAATGATCGATCGTGGATAGTTTTTTTCTGACGGCATTTCTTCCAGGACGTGCTTTCCAAAGTCATCAAGACGGAGGGTATCTTCGCCTTATGGAAAGGATTCCTGCCGTACTATGCGCGCTTGGGTCCTCACACCGTGTTGACCTTCATCTTCTTGGAACAAATGAACAGCGCATACTTTGTACATGTTCTCGGTGTAAGCAAGACGACAGCTTCAATCTGATGAGGCCTGTCGGAAATTTCACTGGTTCTCGCTCACGCTTCGAGGGACGGAACTCATACGGGTCTTTTCAAACCTTGTAGAGTGACTCGGCGATTCGTTTTAGGGTTTAGATCGTTATACATACGACGTCTGCTATATTCCTCATATTTTTTTATGAAATCTATCCATATTTGGCACAATACTAGTAATTGTTGTAGGAGCCCGTTCCTCTCAAGTCTTTCATCTGAGTCAATGGCTCGATAGCCGATTGGGGCTGCCGTGCCATACGTGTAAGTTCGGGACTCGGGCGAGGGGATTTGCTCGAAGTATTCATCGAAAGGAACTCGGGCCGATTTTCTAAGTGAACTTGACCTGTGCATATCGAGCTTCATAACCTCATCCCGACTCATATAGGTCCAAGACGGAATCCATGCTGTCGCACTTAGAGCGGCGATAGACCATAATTGGATGAGCGTGGGCGATGCGGGCAGATATGCATGAAGAATGGCCGCGAAATGATGGAAAAGACAGTAATAAAGTTTTGAGCCCTTTTTTTTGCAACACAGAAAGGATCGTGTACTGAACATTCGCGGTCGCTGACATACCATCGCAATGGCTCGATTCGATGCCCACGGACTCCGTGTTCGGGGATTTCTCGGCGGACGAGCTTGTGCGGGAACGCGTTTCGTCGACCTCATGGTGCGTTCTGCCAATTCTCAGGGCATGACAAAACGGAATTGAAGGCTCATGACATGAAATTGTGTTCGAAGAGAAACCACGGAAGTTCGTCGACTAGAATAGCTGAGGTGAGGGAGCAAGGCTGACTGAGAGGCGAGTCGCGCGATCCGAGGTCGTTTATTCTAAAGAGAATCTCGACGCTGCATGGTTCGCGATCAACCCGAAATCGCGGTCATTTGTCCTGCTCATGTCAGGGCTTTGGTTGTTGCAAGACCGGGGAGAGAAGCGCGAATTTTGAGCGATTTTCGAATTTAGCGGTCATGCTCGATGTAAATATTCCTCGGGAATGCGTTCATCTGGCGGTCGTCGTTTCCCTGCCTTCAACATCATCACCGGACCAACAGCTAGCTCCAGCGAAAGAGAGACAACATCTTCAACCTGACAGGGAAAAACTAGCTTCTCGGAAACCGCCAATATTCCGCGTAGGAAGAATTCTCTTCGGAGGTTAGGCCCAGAGACCGCCATCGGTGTTCACCAGGTCTCCAACACGTCTAACTTTCGAGACTCATCCAATATGGCCTCAAACCACAATCCGAGGCAGATCGACCTCGATCACATTTGGGACGATCTCCGCCACGGAATCGAAGAGGTAATTAGATTTTGACTGATTCGCGTTCGACGGTGTGAGAGCTCATCCGACCGGAGCGGATTCGTGCTGGAAACTTAGTCCTGGAAACTGAAAGGGCTCGATCAAAACTCGCTGGAATCGTAGTGAGGACCCCTTCGGAATCGGAAGTGTGTTCTGACGCAGGGAATACGATACTGAAAAGTAATGATCTCTATATTGATGTGATGAGATGCGACATCTGCTTTCGAGCACTTCGTGGTGGCGCAGGTTCTTTAATCGAACAGCAGGTCACAGACGCGTAGATTGTAGGCAGCTGCCATTATCGAGGCGTTCTTGCAAGATGCGTTCATTGCGTCGCAGCGATGATAGTATTCCATTCCGAAGGGAGAATTCGGAGCTCCGAGGATTATCCAGTTTTTTGCAACTCCCCGGAAAGCGCCATCATGATATCAACCCAAATCGATACACTCCGATTTTGGATTCCAGGTGTATATCAAGAAGAACGTTTCAATGAAAAAGAAACGCTTCATGCAATTGTACACTCACGTATACGACTACTGTACTCTGGTGCACTCGAGTCATAGACAAGAAATCATCCCACCTGCGGCAACCATACACATAGCGCCCATACCAATCGTTAGTCCAAGACGGACCGCTGCCGCGACTCCATCCGGAGCTCAGTTCGTCGGCCAATGTCTCTACGAGCGATTGAGGGACTTTCTGACCAATTATCTCAAAGATCTGCTGAAGAACGGTGAAGGACTAATGGATGAAGAGGTAGGTTGACTTGCTTCCGTCTTTGCTTCTTTGTCTAAATACAGTGATTATCATGGAGACATCATTCTACCAACCTACGTTCTCGCTTCAGGTTCTCAAATTCTACACACTACAGTGGGAAGAATATCAATTTTCGTCACGGGTTCTCGACGGTATATGCTCGTATCTGAACCGGCATTGGGTAAAGAGGGAATGCGATGGCAAGCGTGATGTCTTTGAGATCTACCAGCTGGCTCTCGTCAGCTGGCGGGAGTACTTCTTCGCCCCGCTGCATCAAGTGGTGAGTAGCCGGAACAAGCAGCTTGAAGCCATCGATGCCAGTAATTGATGGAACACATTGGAGAGCAAGAGCTCGAAATAATTTCTGAACAATTATTGCACAGGTCACCGCGTCCGTTCTTCGGTTGATCGAGCGGGAACGCAATGGAGAGTGTGTTTCTACACGACTGATCTCCGGTGTGATAAATTGTTACGTTGAGTTGGGTCTCAACGAGGAGAATCCCCAAATACGCGGTCCCAACCTGACAGTTTACCGGGAAGCATTCGAGAACCCATTCTTGGAAGAGACACGGCGTTTCTACACCCGAGAGAGCGTCGATTTCCTCAGAGCAAACCCCGTCACCGAGTACTTGAAAAAAGCAGAGACCAAGCTTGCTGAGGAGCAGGACCGCGTTTATCATTACCTACACGAAACAACTTTACTTTCGCTGGCGAAAACATGCGAGCGAGTCCTAATCGAGAAGCATCTCGAAGCCTTCCACATGGGTGAGGAAGAGCTACATTCCGTCTGGGAATTTCCATGAGTGGCAACCCTCCGGATGCTATTGACAACGGAGCACTCATGGCCCAAATTCTCTTGATTCCAGAATTCAAAACTCTCCTCACAAACGAAAAGAATGAAGATCTCAGCCGCATGTTCAAATTGGTCGCCAGAGTTCAGGACGGTCTCACCATCCTGAGAGCGCACCTCGAGCGACACATCACCGACCAGGGACAGGCAGCTCTCGAAGCCTGCGGAAGCGACGCAGAACCAAAGCAATACGTGGCAGCGATTCTTGATGTTCATAAGAAATATTCGCTCCTCGTCGAGACTTCATTCAAAAATGACGCTGGTGAGTCATTCCTCCCGAGTGACCGATTTCAACGGTCTAGCTTGATTGGACTGCACAAAGATCCCAATCCACGCTCATACAAACGAGTATGCTTGCAGGATTCGTGGCGGCTTTGGATAAAGCTTGCGGGAAGTTCATCAACAACAACCACCAGACGAAACAAGCACAGTCTAGCTCAAAGAGCCCGGAACTACTGGCTCGGTACTGCGATATGTTATTGAAGAAGAGCAACAGGAACCCCGAAGAGGCGGAAGTCGAAGATGCCCTGAATCAAGTTATGATTGTGTTCAAATACGTCGAGGACAAGGACGTTTTCCAGCGTTTCTACTGTAAAATGTTGGCAAAAAGGCTCGTGTCTCACATGTCAGCGAGCGATGATGCTGAAGCGTCGATGTTGACGAAGCTCAAGGCCGCCTGCGGGTTCGAATACACCTCAAAACTCCAGCGCATGTTCCAAGACATCACGGTGTCGAAGGAGCTGAACGATGTTTTCAAACGACATCTCGAGGACACCCACGAGTCGCTCGGCATGGATTTCAGCATCCAAGTGCTCAGTTCGGGCTCATGGCCGTTCCATCAAACCCTGGAGTTCACTTTACCCCACGCTCTGGAACGAAGTCTGCAGCGATTTACTGCATTCTATTCCAATCAGCATTCGGGTCGCAAACTCACGTGGCTGTATCAGATGAGCAAAGGCGAATTGAACGCCAATTGCTTCGCGAAGAAGCTCATTCTGCAAGCGTCAACGTTCCAGATGGGGGTGCTTTTGTTGTTCAACAATAGCTTTTCATTGACCGTGCAACAAATCCAGGAGGGGACAGGCATGAAGACGGAACACGTCAATCAGATCGCTCAAAGCCTTGTCAAGATGAAACTCTTCAATAGTTCCAATTCCGACGACGCCAACATTGGCCCTCAAAGTGAGCTCACCGTCAACGAAACGTAAGTCTCACAAGAGATGACCAGTCGCTCGTATTATGTTTACAGGGAGTCGGCTCGCACATAAGTCATGCGTCACGCCGAATGCGTATTTCACAGGATGACGGGGCGAGATTGTATACCGCTTCATGATCAACCATAGGCGGGCTCCGATTATGTATGTCTCCTCGGGCTTCGAGCTCCACACTCTAGAGTCTAGACTCACGACGGAACTAACTTTTCAGCTACAAGAGCAAGAAGTACCGAGTAAACATCAATCAGCCGATGAAGACCGAGACGAAGACAGAACAAGAACAGACGCACAAGAACCTTGAAGAAAACCGGATGGTCCTCATACAAGCCGCAATTGTGCGCATCATGAAAATGCGGAAAGTCTACCACCATCAACAATTGATCGTCGAGGTGCTAGAACAGCTGAGTTCGAGATTCAAGCCCATGGTGCAAACGATAAAGAAATGTATCGATCTTCTCATCGAGAAGGAGTACTTGGCCAGAGTGGAAGGTCAGAGAGATACATACAACTACTTGGCCTAGATCGCTGAGCCAGCCGGGGAATTCGGGCGCTTTCAGGAGCTCTAGCTGCTTTTTTAATGTATCACTCAATGAAACATTTGGCATCGAAGGGGTTTTCGGAGTTTTGTACGAATTCATGAGAGCGGAGACGCACCACAAGTTTGACTATACGATGCCTGCCTGCCCGTCTGCAAGCCAACCACCCACCATCCAACCCAGCCACCCAATTTCGGGAGATCCCACCGTGAGATCGCGGGACGGATTTGCAGCGTGAGGCTCGATGGCGAGATAGAACAGATTCGATCTAGCTGAAATGACTCACCGATTTAGAAACACGATCTCTCGATTGGGGGGTTCTTGCGCGATTCAGTAAGACCAATGTTTGCTTTTCGGCCGAATATCTTCTGGGCTAATCACATTAGCCGTTCGTTGCCCTATCAGCCCCGGGTCTGCAAGCTCCATCAGAGGATCAGGATGGCGGGCTCTGATCATCGCTGCAGACGACTCCAGGGACTGGCTGTTGCAGGAAGGCCTGTTTTCAAAGGGAATTAAACGTTCTTTTTATTCTCGGAGTCCGGACGGGGGTGATAGACTGTTTCATATGAGTGCATTGATAGCGAGACTGGGCGAGATCGGGATATGCCTCGGTCGCTTCATGTAGTAATATTTTTGAGCCATTGTGAGAATTCGGAGAAACCTTTTTATAGAATCGATGCGAGTGATCAGTTTTTTGTCTCATTGTAGTCGGATCTTGTCTCCTCGTCGAGACAGATTCGCGATTCGGGGCTCGACACAGGTACCAAAGCCTGTACTTTCCGAGATGAAAGACAGAAACGCGCCTTTCTTCCGGAATGAGACCCCTGTGGCTTTTCTCAGCGATGATGAGGGATACCGAGATTCCGGCAGAGAAGAGATCGCGGTATAGACTTCATGTGTATACTTGGAGCGGCAACGGTTAGGGCTTTGTACCGACCGCCGAGGCTGACTTCGGGCCATCCCAGCAGGCTCGCTCGATGATAGAGGTGATCGCGAAACTATGAAGCGTGCATTCGGTCTGGGGTAAAAGGGGAAACAGGGAGGGAGGCCGGAATTTGGAGAACCGGGTCGCGACTCCGTTCTCGGAGGCTTCCGGGACTGACCGTCTTCGTACGCTCGTCAGTCAGTCAGTCAGTCGGCGATCACACTCAGAGTCAGGCGAGCAGGACGCGCGAAAACTATTCGACCATGAAATAGAACCGTGAGACGAAATACTCGGATGAGAGGAATTGTATATATCATGAGGCTTCAATTCAGAATTTCTCCGTGAACGTGTCGAGGGAGAATCTAGTGTACCCAATGAAAGCGAAGGAATCTTCGAGCTCTCGTGGGTAAGCTTTTTGGATGAATTCTCGTGGAACGATGCAGATACGAGCGTGAGGGCAACTGGCTGTTGTCGAAAACTTATAATAAATCATATCTAGTTTCATCTGTGGGTGCTTTAATCGGGACGATTGGGAGGATTTGGGGAACGGACGCCAGGATCGACTCGCATTTTCGTGCGAGAAGAACATGCACTTTTCAAGCGGGAGGAGAAAAGGTCACGTGAAGAAGGCAGAGCATTCCGCTTCGATTTTTGAGTTGAGCTGGAGAATGTGCTCGTAGGGGGGAAATGATCGACCCCGGCATGGTCAAGGTTCCCGCAGATCAGATCGGAGCCGCCGTTCCCAACAATTTCAGCGCCGGAAATGGATAAAAAGAGAACTGGAAAAATTAAGGCCCTCGGCGGCATGGGGAGTAAGCGAGCCGTTGCTGCGTAAACCTCAACACCGAGGAATTTGTGAGGATCAGCTCGGATAGCTTCGGGTATGGAAAAGCGGGAGGCTCACATCGTCTCCTCCGCGGCGATAAAATCGCTCACATGACGCCTGCTTTCCTACTAAGCAAAGAGTCTATGATGCAGAACCACTCAATGGGCGTATTTTATTATCAAACGAAGCACAACCCCGTTGATCACGCTCATTTATCGACGCCCTCGCTCCCCAGAATGACATTCTCATTAGGCTCACCAATGTGCGCAGGATCCTTGCAGGCATCGTTCCTGGCCAACTCGACAAGACTTCGGAAGCTCCTGGGCTCGGACCACGCGAGATCGGCGAGTACCTTCAGTTGGGATGATACCGGCAATGATTAGCGTTCTGTCGATACTATGGCTGTTTGGCATCGTCCTCACGAGCGGAATAGGCATCTTGATTAGAATCCCCATAGAATCAGATGATGATTTCCGCCGGAACGACGGGGAAATCGATAGTCAAGAGAATCTCGAGGATCGAGCTCACCTTTTTCCCGAGAGCTACTTGCTGGTGCGCCAAGCCATGTGCGAAAGGAAAATAGTTGAGGCCTAGGGATTCAGTCGATGCGGATATCCGGCTCTGCCAGGTCTGGCTGGTCGTCTTCTTTAGATCGGCGCGGCCATGTTTTGCGTTCGTCCACGCTTTTTCTAGCCGTCTGAACTCGATGAGGACGCGTCCATTTAACCGAATGTCTCGCTCGGAACGAGCTAATTGTTTATTGATATAAAGGCAAACGAACCTGATCGCGATGGCGTAGCAATTTCTCGATCTTCCGTAGAAATGACCGCTTTCTATGAATACACGTCTCCTCTTCCAATATCTGTTTGCCGGAGTTTTGACCCAATGGGCGAGTACGGACGTGAGCGTTACCACTGTGGAAACCAACATGTGTCATGTATTCGCTCTTTCGAGTTCCAAAGTTGTCCGAGCACCTCCGTAATCGATCGCGCAGCTCGCGGAAGTGGAAACAGGCGATTTCTCGCGGATTCCGGGGAGGGGTTTTAGCATGAGCAACTCAAAGGGCCCAAGCTAGTAAGCTGCAAATAATAACTCACTTTTCCCGCTCAAGTGGAGGGTTAACCTTCAATATCGGAGTTTCCCGATGCGCGGCTGAGCTGCACAGCCGAACTTTTTCCCCCTATCAGCGGCGGTCGGCACGAGAAACTGAGTGATCCGTCGGCCGCAGCAGAGCTACTCACATGTCTGTTCAAACATGCAGCCCCACGGCATCGAGGGAAGCATCCGGTGGACTCGGATTGCCCGAACCAGACGGAGACTCTTGGGGAATTCAGAAATTCGGCTTCCAGAGAGAGAGAGCGATCGTATATCTCCTCTATTCACCGAGGCAGGGACCAGAAAAAAACGCATTTCGTGAGCGAGACATGCCATTGATAATCTCTGCCTGCAATCCCGAACAGATGAGGCGCTAGGGCTCCGAGAGAGCACCAAAAGCTTGGATACTCTGATCCCTCGTTCGAGAATAGGCTCCCGGAGATCGGGACGAGATATCTCGTCAACGTGAAAGCGTCAGCGGACCAGAACGTGGGATTCGCGGAGAATAGACGGAGGTGAGGATGAGCATACTACTCATCCGGATCTCCACGGTCTGGATGGAGCGTCTCTAAGCGTACCGCGGCGCGAATCGAAGAGGCGGAAGGAGCAAAGGGGTGACGAATTGGTAGGTAAACAGAAGTTTGTCGGTGTCGATGGTGACTTGGGGAAACGACGAAGAATCCTCATTCCGTGGGAAACATTTCACCGTGCGCGTGCACCCCGCACAATATCATATACTGCTGCAGCACCGAGTGCTCCTCTGCGCGGAAGCACCGTAGAAAAGTCTGACTGAGGGGGAAAGCTGACCGCAGTGGAGGTGAGCCTGCTCAGGATCCACAAAGGGAGGAATCGGATGCAGTCGCTCTCGCTGGCGCACCTCTAGATGAGAAACCCGGAATGATAGGTATATATACCTAGCAACAGTTCAGACTTTGCTCTTCCGCCAGCGGCAAACAGGGACCATCGACATATCTGTCTGGTGAACATAATCAATAATCAAGCATCAGCTCTGAGCGATGGAGGATTTTCTGCTTTGTGTCTCGCTCCCTCGCCCATTCCTGGGAGAACTATTTTGGAGGATATCCGATCACTGTGGGCGAACAACCGGCAGTCTCGTTTGGTTGCGATCCCGGGCGCCGCTTTAAAAGGTTTCTCGTGATGGAGCTGGTCAGTTGCTGTCGTCGTTGATTTCTGCTGCGCTGTCGTCTTGTGTTTGTTTGTGTGTGTGTGCGGTTGTGTCGTCTGCAGCGGATGCTCATCAAAAAAATAATACATACAGACAGACTCAAACCTCTCTACTCTCTTCTAATTCGAGCTTGTATGTACTTTTTTGAAAGATCATGAAAAATTGTTGGATGGGCAATTCTTTTGCTCGAGGTTTTTGAGAAGTCCACTCTAGTGAAACTGATCGCTAAATCAATTCGAGCCTCGTCGGTGTGCACTCCGACGGCGTCTGGAGGAAACGTTTGAAGTTCTCCCCGTCACTAACTTTTCAAGACTTGGATCGCGTCAACAGCTTGTCCGACGGTGAGCTCACGGACGTGCTCGTCTCGGAAAATACTTCGTGACCGACGGAGGGAGAGACATGACGCGGAGGATATCCGGCTAGAACAGTTCTCTGTCACGAACGTTTTGAGACTCTCCGGGTCCAGGATCCTTTATCTCTTGGAGCCGGAACGAGCCCCAAACTTTTCCAATTTACCCTGAAGTGGCTGGAGACTCCGATGTGCTCCCTATGCGGAACCGTAGCGATTCCCCTGATGACAAGCTGACTCGCCCTCGAAAGAATCATCAAACCTATCTATCGGATAGGATACCGGAATTTACTGATTGCCGTTTGTAGTAACCATTTTTTCTCCTAATTTGCTCTAGCTTACGGCAGATGTCATTCCCGGGATCGCGCGGCCCACCTCCGCCACCTCTCGGTGGCGTACCTCTGATTCCCGCTCCTGGATATCCGATGCCACAACCCGTATTAGGACTCCCAGTGATGGGACCTCCAGGCGTAAGTATTCAATTGCTGCATCGATCGCAGCGCGCCTTGGCGCATCATTTTACATCTATATGTACAAGCGTTGGGGGATACATCGATCCTCACCGACCGTTCCTGTCAGTTCCAGGTCCCGGTTGTCGGAATGCCTGGCGGTTTGCCGCCGGGTTTACCCCCTGCGATACCTCCGGCAGTGAATTCTCAAGAACGTAGACCTCGCGTGCCCTATTCGAAACCTCCTCCGAAAAATGTGAGCGTAGGCTACTCTCGGAGGATGCTTTGTGTGTTCAAATCAGTCAGAATCAGCATCATTCGTAAACGAGACTCACTTCTCTAGCTCAATCAGCAATCTTCGACTGATGAAAAAGTCTCCACCATAACCGTTTTTGTTGGAAATATCACCGAACGCGCAACTGATAACCTGGTCCGAGCTGTACTCGCCAAGTGCGGGTGAGTCTCACGTCTCCTCATGAATGTCGTTTCTCATCGCAGATACTCTCTGGTTGTAAGCGCATATGACTCACAGAACATTGTCGTTCCCTTTTGGGTATGCTTTCCGCTCCGCAGGTACATAGCGAATTGGAAGCGAGCCCATGGCGCTAACGGAATTCTCCAGGGCTTCGGATTCTGTGAATTCTCAGAGCCCGATGCCGCCATGAGAGCCATACGGTGAGCCTCTCGGATGGGTTGCTGGTCCGCTCATCTTCGATGACGAATCGAAATATTTAGTTTTCCTCTGCATTCAAGATTGCTCAACGATATGGAGATCGGAGACAAGAACCTTATGGTCAAAGCCGATTCTAAAACGAAGGAAATGCTTTCGAAATATGACGAGGAACGTCGATCAGCCGTTGGCAACGGGAGCGCCGATGATTATGTTGAGCTGACCAAGAAGGTATGAACAATCGAAGTATTTTCCGTCATGATGATTTTCATCGAAATAGATCTCTGGAATGAATGATTATCTTTTCGCTCAAGGTGGATCGAGAGGTCTTGGATCAAATCGAACAGCTCCTGAAAGTTCACGCAGCAGAACTCAAGCAGAAGAGCGGCATCGACAAGGAGAAAGCGGACAAGGTAGGACCTCGCTCGGCGACCTCATATATCGCGGGATCGTTTGACTCCTAGGCCGGGATACTTGATTGATGAGCATGATTTTCGGCAGGACAAAGACCGTGGTCAGAGGAATAACCGAGTTTTGATACAAGAATCCATGGATGACATGGAGCTTGACGAAGAGAAAAAGAGTCTCATCACGCGGGAGATCGACAAATTCCGGGACGCCTACAAAGTGAGTGATGCTAGCATTCTCCATGTTAGTGGTCGGAGGAGTAACGTAAGCGAAGTCACGGACGGAGCTCCTATGGAAGTTCATGCTCTCGTCGACTGGATTTGGAAAGAGGCAAATGAATTGAAGAACCGACTTCTGGAGTCTCGCTGCAGCGTCTCGGCCCACGAGTGGTGCAGTTTCTCGTGCGAATCCTCCTTCTCTATGAGAGGCCGATATTTCTAAAATGCTTACTTCCAAACTTGTAGCCCGTTAGTCCAGGGGTAGATTTACCGATATGCTCATGGGGTGAGTGGCTGAAAAATCGTGTGGGGCAGCGTGACTTTCTCTCCTCATTTTCCATCAAGGTACACGGGCGCTCTGCTTGAATGATTATAGTCAAAGCTTTCCCGATCCCCGAATCGCTTCCTCCGGATGCTCAATACATACAAGCATAGTGGTGCTCAGAGATCCGGCTTCTTGAGCGAATCGATGGGTCCTTTCCGTGTGTTTCTCGTGTGTGGTGTCGGTATACAAAGACGCTCGGAGAAGATGGTTCGAGCAGTTGACAGGGTTTCCACATCAGATTCTCATTGCGCTAAAAGTTTTTCGCCGCATCAAGAACCTTTCATTGAAGAATCGTTCGCTCAACGTCTCCGGCGCCGTATGGCTCGGTCCAGTGGCGCAGCCCCACCCTCCAGTATATCGGTTCAGGCCATTGGTCTCTTCAAAGATCGAATATCGTTCCCCGTAATTGCTGAACTGAGAGGACTTGCCCATGAGGCGTTCGATCAACAGTATCTTTGTGCGAATCGCGAAGCATCTAGCGAAGGAATCAATAGGTCGACTCCAGCGATGGTGACCTCAATAACGAAGGTGTGCGGGCGTTCGGAATCGCTATCATTTTCTTTCTGTAATGAGCTCGTTTTCCTAATCGAATCCCGCTCCGTTGTGTTATCTGCTTTGGAGACCCAGGAGGCCAGAAGCTGGGGCTACCGAGCGACGCTTTTTTTTTTCACGTCGCAGGCTGACAGTAGAGCCTATCGTTTCTATTGAGAGCGGAGCATATCAGATGGAAGTCCTCCCAAGGCGAGCATTTTCCGGAAGCAAGTAATGCCGACTCGATGGACCAACTGAAGTTTTGAACATTTCAGAAAGAAGAAGAGGAGAGCGGGAGCCGTAAAGACGAGAAAAGAAAACGGAGTCCATCGCCTAGCAACGGGACCCGGAAAAGGGAACGCGAGCGACGGCGAAGCAGGGTATGTACGCTCCACAACTGTACCATTGAAGACATCATCTTCCGCAAGCTGTCAAGATCTTCTGCTAGCGTCTGCTTCCTTATTCCAGAGTCCTAGGCCGCGATCACCTAGACGCACACCGGAAAGATCGAGACGATCACCCGATGGACGACCATCCGACAGAAAAAGCCGAGAGCAAAGACCGAACAGTGTAGACGACGATGAAAGATACCAGAAGGAACTCCGAGAGAAAGCGAAGGAACGCGAGAGAGAGTACATGAGGATAGAGAGGGAGAAACGACGGGAAGATAAGAATGTGCTCGATGAAAGCGAAGAGGAAGAGGTGAGCTTCCCTGATTCCTCAGGTCTCACAATATGGGTATGCCTCGAGAAGGGATGTTCTCATCCCGAGTCGATGACTCAATTTCAGTTGCAAGAGAGAAAGCGTAACGAGAAACGACTCCGAGAGAAGGAAGCCAATTATCAGGATCACCTCAAACAATGGGAGGCGAGAGAGAAACGACGTGCCAAGGAGTACCTCAAAGAGAAGGAGAGAGTAAGTACAGGCGGTCCCTGCTCAGCGGCTAAGGTTTTCCCCGCGGGAACTCCCGCGACTGAGCCCGTATCATATTCTAAGAGACTACTCTCCTAGGAAGAAGAGCGCCTGATCGAAGAACAGAAAGAAGCTCGACGCTTACGCGAATTCTTCGAAGATTACGACGATGAACGGGACGATCCTCGTTTCTACAGCGGAGCCTCCCTCCAAAGACGGTACATGATCGGCGATGTCAGGACATCTGTCTTCGGAAAGGTTCGCTAAATCATTCAAGTTCCTTCGCTCTCATCCCCTCTTCCGATCTGTTCTCAGGATGCGGGAGCGCGAGCGAGAAAGCGAATGGGATCTACGAGATCGCCAACGCGAGCGAGAAGAGTTCGATGAACTGAAACGAAGACTGGCGCAAGAGGGTCACCCGGACCCCGAGGGCGAAGCCCAGCGGCAGCTGCAGCCACAGCCAGCGCAAGCGAATGACCACGATCAGATCGATGCCGGTAAGGAATTTCGAGGGTTCCGACATTTTCCCCCATCGACCGCGGTCGAAATGCCTGGCATCCTCTGATTCCGAATCCTCTTCAGGAGCAGGTCCCGGGAGCATTGACGATGAGGACACTCCACCAGCTCAGAAGCCGCCACAGAGGAAGGAGAAGGTACTCTATTTTACGCCCATGTCCTCGTGTGAAAACCTGCTGGTCTTATTTTCTGATGCACAATTTTGAACTTCCAGAGTTCGAAAAATCATCCCGCCGAGGAAGAACGCGCTGCGCGCGAGCAACGTGAAGCGAAGGAGAAAACGAAGGTTCGACCATAAACCGTGGAGACTAGGACGCCATTCTCCTTTGGTGGTCTCGTGTTCAAAGAACAACCGAGGAATTAATCGCAAAATTCCGACTTTCAGGAAGACAAGCTCCGACACATCAAGACTTTGGTGGAGAAAATTCCATCTAACAAAGAGGAGTTGTTCGCTTACGATCTCGATCGCAGTTTGGTGGATGAAACTTTGATGGAGAGACGTGTTCGTCCCTGGATAAACAAAAAAATAGTCGAGTATATCGGTGAAGGTACGTGTAGCGCTGACTTGACTTTCGGAATTCACGGATCCCGGGTTCTACATCACAGCAGCCTGGTTTCCCTCTCAAACTGATCGGGAGTCCCTTTTTCAGAAGAGGCAACTCTGGTGGACTTCATTTGCACGAAAATAATCGCCGGGGCCGACGCTAAAAGTCTCCTTGGGGATGTCTCTATAGTGTTAGATGTCGAGGCGGAAAATTTCGTAGTCAAAATGTGGAGGCTTTTGATATACGAAGTAGAGGCGAAGAAAGTGTCATTGTAAGTAAATAATCTCTGCGGTGTGGTTGATCACCATGCTGATTGTCTAAATCGACTTCTCTCATCTGCCACCTTCACAGAGAGGGCGCGACGGGCTGAGCACCTGCAGCCGGGTCATCGCCGTCTCACTGGAACCCCTCCACGAGCTTCTCGTAGGATTGAGACTTCCAGATAAGCTGGATCGCTTAGGACCTAGACAGGTCCTGAGTATTCAGCGCATGGAAGCTCCGAACCGTATCCGCAATCGACCACTGCAAGAAAATCTTCTGCGCGCTGTGTATATGTCTCAATGAGGTCGTAGGTGAGGCTGCTGTAATAAAACTACCATCCTGTCAATGACGCGACGTATTATTCGCCTTAGAGCCTGCTCGATAAAAACTGCGCTCCGCGACTCTGGAAGTTTTTGCTTGCTCCTACCCGCATCGAAGCCGTCACGGACCCACGTGGCTTCTCCTATCAAGGCTCCTGCGACTGTGTTGGAGTCTCCCGCGGCTCGAAAGCGGGAGTCCATGCTCGGTGGAATTCAGTCCATCGCTTCGCGGGGCTTGAAGCTTGTCGTTCGTTATGAATATACAAGGCTCAACGCAGAGCCGAGATATACTGGACGGCTGCGTTGCTCCGGGAACAGGAGGGCTGTCAGGAACGATAGCGCTCGATCGAGCGTCGTTCTCAAGGCCTGCTGGAACTGCTGGTTCCTGTCGAAGGTCCTGTTTTGATGCGGGCCCGCCGGTGACTTCCTCGCGCAGTCAGGCCCGAGAGGATACGCCTTAGGATTATAAACTCTTGAGTCTTATATCGGCTCTGCCCGGAGACGACAAGCATCGGAGATATTTGTACGACATTCTTGTTGGCCCCCAATTATTGAACCTGCCTTCAAGATGGTAGTCGGCGCCAGCATTCGAGCTCGGAAGAGCGATGTTCGCATGGGAGCATCACATCTCCTCGCAGTTTATTCAGACTCGGTCCTATTCAGGCCCTCTTCGATGGTGAATGAATCAGCGAGTGAGCGAGATAGAATAAAACTTCGGACTTTCGATTAGGAATTCCGGGCATTCCATCGGCGAACTGCACACGGGTTCACCGAATGGATCATTCGTTCACGCTTAAGAGAAGTTGGGCCGCCCACCACGGAGGAACGGGGAGCGGCCCATCTCCGATGGGCTCTATCAGGACAGCTGACCGCTCAGAATACGGGGTAGATTGGGCATTGATCAGTATACCAACAATCCACAACATGGACGACTTCACGCGCTGAGTGTATACAAGGCTGCAAGTTTCCTCTTCGCCGAGTGGCCGACTTCCGGGGAAGCACTTGGTAGCAGAGATTCCGATTGTAATTGGCGTACTCCCGATTTGTCGGGTAGTCTGAAGCTTCACGCTCTAGGACTTTAAACGAGAGAAAAATTGACCGGAGTCATGACCGGACCGAAATCTGAACCTGATTTTCTCCGGGAATGTTGGGGCGCGACATTAACCATTTCATGACTGCGCCGATGCCTCGCGTCGTGAGTATGGGCAGAAAAAGAGTCAAGTACTAAAGAAGCTTCCTTCACTTCCGCATGTCGGCTGTTTCTCTTTATTGTGTGCTGCAGTAGCGAACGCGAAGTAACCTGCAACGCGGAAGCTCCGACGGCAACTGCGGTCAAGGCCATCCGGTTAAGATTCTTCTGCAGCGGAAGGAGCCGGTCACTCGTCATCGTCTTCCGTCTACAGACGTTACGTGATTCGATGCAGGGTCACGAAGCGGATCGATTATCTCCGTTTCTTCAGTGGATGCCATCAGAAATCATATGAGATTGCCTCGATTCCCTTCAATAACTTCAGTCATCCATACTTCGTCACTTCAGATGCAGACTGGTCTTCAGGGAATTTATTTTCACATCGCTCTCGGGGAGAGCAAGATTCGGAAGTTCAGAGCTCCCGGTTGGCCTCTCTCGGAAAGCCAGCGTCATTCGTTCCTCCTGCGCGCATATATTTCACCCATAAGATAATCAAAAGTTCCCCATAAGTGAATGAGTTCTCCGAAGTTAACCCGCTGAAGACTGTCTGATTCGTCCTCAAATTCTGGAGTCCTTGGAGCTCCGTCAGCTTGAATAATCGTCCCGTGGTGAGGCAGTAGGCTTCACTTTCCGCCTTTCACTTTCAGTCAGATGAGAATCGGTAAATCTTCGACAACTCACGACGATTTCCTGCACAAAACCACCCCACAGTCGGCCGAGTTCCAATTCCATCCTGTTGATTATATCGGCTCGCTGGCTGCTGCTCCCGATTCGATCGCCTGGGCTCAAACGTGTCACTATTCAAGAAATCGCCGAGAGCCAAATCCAGCCGAGTGCGTCGTGCGGATACAAGCACCCAGCCGAACGCAATGGAGAAGCCGCATCCTTTGGACTGGGAAGCACGAGCTCGGGAAGAGCTCGGAGAAACGCCGGAAGTTAGAGAAGCTGCCCTCAAGGTATGACCGTGGATGGGAATGCGATATCAGAGACAGCGTTTTCCCTTCGGAGGGTAGGGTATCCCCACGTATTTTCCGACCCCCGACGATAGTGTCCGTGATTTTCCCGAAGGGGTCTCTGCGAATCTCGACAAGCTGTGAGCTTGATATACAGCTTCTTTTCGTGACTCCGAGTGGCAACCTGAGCTTCGGAACTCTGCATGATATCGCAATGGATTGCGCGACGCTGAACTCTTTGGACCTCCAAGAAAGTTCGCGCCTGTTGAGCCTCATACCGGTGACCCGTCAATGGTCTCCACCACTCGCGAGGTGCTTGAGAGACACCCTTCAGAATATTAGGCAATACGGGTCATTCGGAGATCAAACCAATGACCGCGAAGCGAGCGGGGCAAATACTCTCGGATGCGAGCAAGCCCCTCCGTAACTTGCATTGAGTCGTTTCTCATTGCTTCCACAGGAATTCGCGGCCAAGGCGATCAAGCTTGAGAACTTCAATCCGCGATTGGATGAGAATTTCCTGCTCAGGTTCTTGAGATCGAAGAAATTTGACGTCGACAAAGCCTTCAAGTCGTACAAGAAGTTCCACACCATCAGGTCGGTGCTAGCGTGCCAGGAGAAAAGACTGTTCTCGCGGAGATTATGGAGCTATCGGTTCCTATTCACTAATAATTTCCATATTCGGCCAGATTGATAGATCCGGAACGTTATCTGCCAGTCGGGGTGGGTCCTCTGCGGTACAAGCCCGGATTTGATCTCGCTACCGGAACACAGCTCAGAGAGTACAATCCGATCGATGGCTCTTTCGTCGTCATATGGCGAGTCGGGAATTGGCATCCAGAATGTGGCTTCGACCTCAGTGATATTTTCACGCCTACTGCCATGGGTGGGGACTTCCGACTCCGAGAGGAGCAGGCTCAAGTGGCGGGATGTCACATGGTGATGGATTTAGGTCAGATGCATTTGTCGTACATTCGGCATTTTCCATTCTCCGCGATCAAGGTAATGAAGTCATAACTGCGTCTTCCGAGAATCGTGGTGCTGAGCACCTCTGTCGGTTCATCTCGACTTCGGGGGTTGCTTTGTAAGCTCTTGTTCCTTTTCGAGTTTGTCTTCCTCGTTCTTCCCTCTCCACAGGCCCTCATCATGACCATCCAAGACGGATATCCGTGCCGCTTCAAAGGATTCCACGTCGTCAATAATTCTTCACTCTGGGACTACATCTGGGCTGTTTCGAAACCTTTCTTGAAGGCGAAGATCAAGGAACGAGTGTATCTGCACGGCGCCAATGTAAAGTCTCTCCACAAGCACATTTGTCCTAGCATCCTCCCGGAGGAATACGGGGGGAAAGGCGGTCCTTTCGATTGGAGCTGGATAACCGGAGAACTTTACGCTAGGAATGAAGAATTCATCCGACTCAGTCATTACGGCTATATCACGAAGGGTCCTGAGCAGCGTAGAGATGGTTAAATGTCGATCGAAGCTTAGAGCCTAGCTCAAGTTTGAAGGATACCTCATGCCAATGTATCGCATTTCGCGCCGTATTTCTGAATAAGAAATAAGTCCTGGAAATTCGTCCCCGATCGTCTCTTAATTGAACAGTGGGGTTTCCGATCATAGATTCGAAGCTCGTTTGCATAATTTACGGCTCAGCAATGGCAGTAATCTCTGCATGATAAGCCAGAGCATGCTCGATCTGATTGGACACCAGATATAAATATTTGGTCTCATCATATCCTTTCGCACGGTATCCGATATACTTCGCTAGTTCCACTTGTCAAAGCGTCGTAGTCAGTCTGGATTACGATCTCCGAAATCTGTGTGGATTTCCCGACTTGGGGCCTAAGCGATACGGAAATGTTCTAACGACGGGAAAGTCCCTCTTAGGTGGCATCGCTCCATTGGATCATCCGCCTGATTAGGTCGATCTCAGAATATCCCGATCTGGGTCTATTGCTTCGGGCGTACGAGAAGCGGATCCTCCCTCGACTTAAGAATTTGGATCGACTGTTCCAAATTCGGTACGGTCAGCTTTCTGAAGGGCGACGGAACGCAGGCTCGAGTTCACTGATCTTCATCAGCGGTCAGGCTACGATCAGGGTGTCATGTCTTCTTCTTGATGTGGGAATGGATCTTGAGGAGCCCCCCCCCCCCGCCTGTTCTCCTCACCTCACATATGGATCATGACGGAGCTTCTATGTGCTATACGCCCCTCAGAGAATGACTCAGGGACTCATTGGAACCGGATTGAAATCAATAGGCGGCCCTTCAGCCCGGACGATATTTCTGAGAAGGCTAGTGTGATTTGCGTTACCCCAGAGAAAAAATACGGATCCGGTCTCATCACATCTGAGGAGTGTTTCGAACGTGAAGTGATGAAGAAAGGTCTCTCCTGGTAGGGATCAATAACTTATAGAACTATAGGACATGACTTTGGAGGCGTGCTCGATACACATATGATGGCCAGTGAAAGGAACATCATTTCCGTAGACATGACGGAGGGCAGATTTTGCGACGGAAAAAAACGGTAGTCTTTTCTCCTTCTCTTCTAATGAGTCTTCTCTCTGGTCTCGACATCAGTCTTGAGAAGACGGACACCTGAGGCTCAAAGTTTCCGACCTGACATCGCCGAAGAAGGGCGGTCTCCGGAGCCAGCTCACGGTCTAGGCATCATTCGATTTATTCGGTTCAATCCTCCGAGACGCCCAGGGAGGGTAATCCCCGGTGAGGAATCAGGGTAATCATGCGGCAGCCCCCCACCAGAGGAAGTCGCCTGCGGCGTGATGCGCTCTCACCATTCTTGAACAATAGAACGGAAGGCTGTGCGATTTTCATCGATACCTATGGCTCAAGCATCAAACGCCAAATCTATCGGCTTAGGTCGCGCAGAGGAGGGGAGCGATTCCCGCTTAGAAATGAGGAACCGAGAACTCAATGAGATGTCTCTCTCCGAGTCATCTTGCCGAACGAAACTGTTCCTCTTACCCTGTTTCGGATGTCCGGAGTGAATTACCTAGATTCTCGAACCGAAGGGGATCCCAACCTGCTCAAATAATTTGAAGAATCACCTCTGCATCGCTCATTCGCCCCACTCCACGTCCCATGAAGACGTCGACGTTCTCGAAGTCGTTGGGCGCTTTCTCTCGAGAAATACTTTCTGTGCGTTTCGATGCTACCTCTCACAGAAATCGAAGCAAAACCACGAACCTTCGACACAGGCTGTATACTATGGAGTCGGATGGATGTACGAGACCGGGACCAGACCCAAGGCGTATCGGAGGTAACGGGAACTCGAGCTCCAATTCGAATGAGTGAATCACGCAGATTCCGTTCCATGTTGGCAAGCCCTCGCACGAGGCTCCCGACAGAGCGATTAGGGGAGGAATACGGGCCGGTGGGAATATCCGATTTGTGAATGGATAGAAAAGACCCGCCCGCCACAGAGAAAATGCATGGGGCGAAGGCTGAGAAGGTAGCCGGTCAACGACAGCACGCTCGTGAAGAACAGAGCAGCCTAATTTGCGCTCTTTTCTGCAAGGATACCAAGGCTCTCTAGTCTGGAGGGTTCCAGCGTCGCTTGGTGCCGGTAATCATCAGCCTTGTCATCTGGGAAAGCAAGGGCGCAGTCCCCACCTCCGAATCGAAAGGTCTGTACGAATAAGGATGCATCAGCACCGGAACTCAGCTGGATATCCAGTCCTGCCGATCTCTACGAGACTGCGTAGATTTCGCTCTTTCAGTGGCCGTGGCCGAGGAATGATCGAGAGGAGTTGTCTCGCAATATCAGGCTTCTTTTATTTCTCTCCACCTTTCCCATCGTTATTTGCATTGCCGTTGGCAAGTTTTTTCAGCTTGCAAACGAAGAACCCTTCCATGTTATGGGTATGAGGATAAAATCGTCTAGCTAGATTCATATTGGGGTTGAATCTGTGCTCCCGATATCGAGGGAGGCCCTCTCGGCCGAACTTCAAGCTTGAATCAACGATCTCCACGTGTCGATGTTTCAGCGCGTAGTCAATGACGCACTCGTTTTCTTCCGGCTTGAAAGACACTGAGCTTTAGAATATATAATTCGTAAGTCGTCAGGACCGACAGCGCTCTCAGCGACGATAAACTCACCAGAACAGAACATGTTGAATAAACCACGAATCCGGCCGACGAATTGGAGTCGACGCAGTCAATAGCAGCCAATAACAATTCTTTCTGGAGATGAGAGCATCGCAGGATGTCTTTCTCGTCCTTCGAAGTTTTCACGTGCTCGTCTTTGGAGACCACCCCCGAGCCAGAGCAGGGAGCGTCCACGAGTACACGATCAAAACCCGTCATCACCTGTAACGATGGCTCCTGTCCTTGCCCGATCCAATCATTCATGAAGTTATGTTGCGTAAAGTCAGTCAACTCACCTTCGTGAATTTCCGACCATCCATCGTGCTCACGACAGCATTCGTAACGCCGAGACGATGGAGGTTCGCGATGACAGCCTTACACCTGTCAGGTTGTGAGTCATTGGCAAATAGAACCCCGGTGTTTTTCATCAGGGCGCCAATGTGGGATGTTTTCCCGCCCGGAGCGGCACAGAGATCGAGTATTTTCTCGTTCTCTTTAGGGTCGAGGGCCATGACGGGCAACATCGAGGCAGCACCTTGGAGCATGTAGTGTCCAGAGAGATATTCCGGAGTTGCCCCGATAGGAACCTGCGAGTTATAGATCACCAGCCCGACCTTCGACCACTCTCCGATCGGGTCAAGATTCACGCCGCGGTTCAATAACGCTTGAGCCAACTCACGTCTTCGAGTCTTTAGGGTGTTCGTTCTGATGGTGAGCGGACGTGGGACTTGATTCGCTTCCAAGTACTCGGAAAGCTCAGTCGGCGAAAACAGGTAGAACAAGCGCTCCATCAGGAACGCATTGTATGAATAGTATGAGCACAAGTCGAGTATCAGCTGACGAACATAGTCCTGCCTGCAACGACTCGCCTCTTTCCGTTTGCTGAAATCCGCAAGGACATGGAGTATATCCTTGATTCTCTGGTGGACAGCTTGAACGGAGAGGGGAACCTCCTTCTCGTTTTCTAATTCGCTCTCTGATGGAAGGCGGAAGTAGTCCGAAAATTTTTGTTTCTGCTGCTCATCCGCTTGATCACGGAGCTCATCTTCTTCTAGTTCCTTGTCTTCCCGACGACGTTCCAGAATCTTCTTCGATTGTTTCTCTATTCTCATCGTTCCCTCATCTTCCAACGAAGCCTCGCTGCCCGGATCCCTCGAGTCCTCGTCGAAATCGTCATCCATGACGCCATCGTCGTCCGCATCGTCATCGAAGAGAGCTCTCTTCGACGTTTGCTTGGGTTTGAGCCACGAGTCGTTTTCGTCCGTGAATCCTTTCCGAGGAGAATCGTTCTCGAAATCCATACCGGACGCGTCATCGCTCGACTGCGCACCGTCTTCCCTGTCGTCAATGGAGTTCGCCTCCTCGGGGCTCCGTTTCTGTTTCGCTTGATCCGTCTTCGACGAGCTTTTGAGTTGGCGTTTCTTGAGTCGTTTGACTTGATTCCGAGATAGCTTCTTCGCATCCTCGTCTGCGAAATATCGAGGGCGAGCTCAGAAAAATCCAGGACTCCATCGTCGTCTTGCCCACATCAAACCATGATCATGTCAACTATCTTGGACTCACCTATTTTCGCTTTCAGTTGCTTGGGCAATTGCGGAGCTGGTTGAACTCTCGATTTCCTGCCTTTACCCTTCTTCTGTTTCTCGTCGTATTTGGCTTTTCTGCCCATTGTTCGAAAGGACTTACTTCACGCGCGAGCCGAGTTCAACGTGTGGTATGGGTTATTCCCGCGTCGTCGGGGACGAAGACGTCGAAAGACTCTTCTCGAAGCTTACGCAAGGCACCGATAAGTCCACTGAATTGACGTTTGCGGGAATAGAGACTCGCGAGCGAAATTCCAACTTCTGGCGCATGAGCGTGCTGATATGTTTACAATCACACGTGGTTCTCCTCGCGCGTCGTCAGCTCTCCAATCACCAAGTGAAGTTATTCCCCTCTCGCTCGTGAAACGTCGGAGCGCGAGATTTCTCGACCTTCCGGTCTCATGAAAGGCTGATGTCATCAATCAATTCGAGATCACTACGACCATGAATGAGAAATGTTTGCTCTTCATTTTGAATCATGATGTCCGTCGAGATCATTGCGAAGCTTTCTTTTGAGCCGATTTCAAAGATCGTCGCTGTATCCCTCTTTCTGGCTAGCCGGGACCCTACACAGGTTCAAGTACCACAACAGAGAAGATGGCTGCGCTCGTACGGACACTTCTCCGCGACAAAAGTGAGTAGAATTGAGCGAAAAACCGCACGAATAGCATCTTCCAGAGCCACTAGAAAGGGTCTATCGAGAAGCTCAAAACATATTGATGAGAGAGCAGCAGTCCAAGATGGTTTCTTCGCGATCGGCTCGAAAATTCACCGAACTGTCCCTCAAAAGGTCATTCTGACTCTTGAGCGGGGAACATCCACCGCATCATCCGAACTTATCGTGGCATGTCCCTTATCGGGCCGTACCGGGAGCTAGGAGCCTGATGCTCCGGAATCCATTGGAACATTCGACTCTGCGGATATCCGCGAGCTTGCCGCTGCGGAAGTCTAACTCTGACGGAAAGAACTATGTCCTCTCGCAACTGTACTTGCGGAGATAGAGCGCGCTCACACAGACTAGACGTCTAACCGATCAGACACGCCGCTCTTCGCCTAAGACAGTCTACAGCTACCTAGGGTCCCTAATTGAACGAAAGGTCATATTACAGCATTCGGTCTGCGCTATGTTCGAACCTCCAGTATCCTTCAGGGACAGGGCGAATACATACAGGTGAACCAGATCCCTGAAAAAGAGCTCATGACGAGAGAAGCTATCGCCGACCGCACGGCGAAACTCTTCTTCTTCGAGGAACTCGTCCGCGGTAAGCGGGGGCCTGGGGAACGCGCTACCGATCGAGGAAAAAACTGACACTTGAGGAGCGCGTAACTCATCTGCTCTCTTTTCTCAGGGATGATGGTTACGCTCGGAATGATTTTCAAAGAGCCGGCCACAATAAATTATCCCTTCGAGAAAGGTCCGCTATCCCCCCGCTTCAGAGGAGAACATGCTCTCAGAAGGTACCCCTCGGGAGAAGAACGTTGCATCGCATGTAAACTGTGTGAAGCTATCTGTCCAGCTCAAGCAATCACCATTGAAGCCGAAGAACGAGCTGATGGTAGTCGACGAACCACACGGTAGGTGATCCGGGCGTTGACGCATCTTCCAAGGGCGCTCCTGGTGAAGTATTCGCTGAGCTCACCTCCGTTTTTCCTCAAGGTATGACATCGACATGACGAAGTGCATATACTGTGGTTTTTGTCAAGAAGCCTGCCCAGTCGATGCGATCGTCGAAGGACCCAACTTCGAGTACTCTACCGAAACTCACGAAGAGTTGCTATACAACAAGGAGAAACTACTCGATAATGGAGACAAATGGGAGCCTGAGATCCAGGCTAACATTCGAGCAGATTATCTGTATCGCTGAGAGCTGTAGGTTAGACTATCTGAAGGTGATATACGACGGTCGGGGGCACCGCCGGCCTGATTGCATCCGAAGTCGAAAGCGTAAATATATTACGGAAGCTGCTGGGGAGTCGTCTTGCTCTTCTTTACACAGAAGGACTTACCTTATTGGATATTCAAACCTTACCAGGCCTGTGGAAGGCGGCCTTCGATCTAAGGGGAGTCTAAAAGAAACGAAGCGTAGCTTGGGGCATGGGAGGGTAAGGTGAGGGAGGGCTTGAGAAACGACGGCCGTGGAATAGTAGAAATGGCAGAGTCTCGGTTTCTAGGTTTCCGCGTGTAATAGAATAGTGTAGCGTAAACAGAGGAGTCTTCGATTCATGACGAACCCCACGCCGGATCTTATGACGAGATCTTCCAGCGGTTGCAGCAAGAGCGCCGACATCAATGACTCGGATAAAGGGGAATACCTGCGGGGTCGCTGCTCTGTGCACGCTCCCTGGAGAATACGTCGACTACCGAAGCCCTGAGCAGAGCATCAACGCCTTGAGGTAACTTTCCCGACTTCCCGATCACGGACAGGCGCGCTATATCAGTAGGGTATAGGAGGACAACCTATACGGATCTATCCATGATTGAAATTCGGTGTCCGTGGGAGTCCAGCGAAACGATCTGCATCAGCCGAGCTCGAGGTTGTTACGTCGATCCATACTCGATCCTCTTCGGCTGCCCGGTCAATGATGAGCATGAAGAAGACTTGGATCACCTGTACGGGTGTCGCGGCGTGGAGCTGCGTCGTCTAATATGTTTTCTTTATGAAGTTCAAAGGAATTCCGTCACCAATGCAGGCACATCTGATCCGAATGGTAAAGAGTGATAAGTGATTAAGACCCGAGACTTCAGGCACTGAGGAAGACAGCCCTGGAAGCACTGGAAATCAGGGAGAGAGGCACTGAATATAATGTAATCCGAAAAAACGTCGCGGAATCAACGAACACGATTAAAATGCTCCCATCGCGTTTCGACTGAAGATCCAGGCCCTCGTGATGAGCGTTGACGAACTGCCTTTTATTCAAGCTCCATCAACTTGAACATGGGGAAGGAATGTTGGAGCCTTTGTTTTCGAAGAGAGAGGTTCACAACAATCAACAGAATGGTAATGACGAGTGTGCGCGACCGGGAGATCATCTTTCGTTCATGCATTTACTTTCCGCATGAAGTTTCTTCAAGCGGAGGAATGTAACGGGCGAGAACGCATCTCTAGAATCGATGACTTGCTCCATCTCATCAATAACAATTTTTTTCTTGAAAAGTGGACAATCGAGAGTGAAGGACTCGAATTCCCCACCTTCGCCGCAAATGTTTAGCCCGTACTTTTCATTCAGATGTAGCATATCTGGGAGGATTTCGGCCAACGTGAGACCGAGATGCTTCTGCGAGAGTCCCATCGCAGCAGTCTTGATGATTATTGCTTCCACTCCGGAATCTACCATCTCATGCAGTAATTGGTTTTGATCCCGGTGCCACAAGTAGGCTAGCATCTCGATGCCCAGTCGCTGGCAGACGCTCTCGCAACGAATCCTCTGGTAGTCCGAGAAGATGGCTCCCACTGAAATGGCGTCGAAAAAAATTTCGTGCCGAATCCTTTTCAAGAGTCGATACAAGTCTTCAACCTCATCATTTTCTGAAGGCGTGTATTCCATCCGCGTGTCCACGGGTGTCCCCAGAATTTTGTCCTGGTACAATGGTAGACCCATCGCTTCCGCATAAATCGGCAGGGCCTTCGTTCCAACTGACTGATACATGTAACTGCGAGGCAGGGGACGTTAGGCACCTACTTGTCGTGCGTTCGAAAAATATGATCGGACCTCCAAGAACACTCTGTGCTCAGCATGGAACAGTGTTTTCTAACCTGTCGAGCTCGTCCTCGCCGTCTGCCGGCGTAAGGTTTGCTAGTGCCACAACCTCGTGTCCATTTTTGACGCACTGCATCATGTTGTAACAACTGTCTTTCCCGCCAGAGATCAAAGCTACAACTTTCATTCTCGATCTGAATTTTTTAACTTATTCCAACTATCAGAGGAGCCTGTGAAGTTGCTTTATAGTCCTTGAGAGACCTGTCTCTCTGGCCACTAGCCACCTTTCCCCATTAGAAGAGTGTGCGCGGGTGCATTTAGATAAGTTCGAGAGCTCGTAAAACGTGTGTGTTGATCGAAGAAGTTATCCGTCCGTCCACAGTCCGACATAAGCTCACGTGCTCACAGCGCGATAGAACACAGAGCGCAAGTAGAATACAATGATGTCGATGATTTTTCCCTTTCTCTGACTTACAGTGGCATCTGCTGTCGTGATGCTTCTTTCTAGCACTGATTGTGACTTGTGAGACACCTTCCGCCGCTTTCCGACCACGAAGATGCCGAGGTGCTCATGAAGGGGCCGGGGCATGTATCGACACTGATGTTGTCATACGTACCTACCCAGACAGCCTACCGACTTCAGCTAAAGTTATGCTTAACCACCTGGGGTTGGGACGCGGGGATGATCCCGAGAAGTTGTTGTAGCGGGATGGGAGAGTCGTCGCGGTCGGAATCCAGAATCATAGAGGAAGGATGCCGACATCATCATCAATCCATTTCGTCAGATAATGGGAGCGGCTCAGGCATGAAAAATCCAGGTGACGCTTATAAAGAGATCAGGACGGAGTCGAATCCGCCGGACTTACCGCCCGGCCACGCAGTCGTCCAAGGAATCTCGCGGCCTAAATTGAGGAATTCCAATAGGTAAACATTATTTTCGTGGGTCAAGATTGTCCAGGGAACGGCCCCTTTTTTTCAGACAATGAGACGATTAATGACAGAGATCGAACCAACGCAGAGTGCCGCATCTCGCTCCTCCTCCCCGTCGAATACTTCCATTCGCAAAATAAACAAGAGGCATCCGGTGTTTTCTCTCTCTCTCTCTTCAGTAAATAGAGGGCGGCTCTCGGCGGCGGCGATCCATAGGCTCTCAAAGGTGGTTGAAGTGTCGGGCGCAATCGAACAAGAGAGCGACAAGGCGACCGACGAGTTGCATTCGGAGCTGATCGGAAGAACCTCCGCCAGAGCCTAAAACGGTCAAAATGAATGGTAACACGTCTGACCAGACCGTGGATAACGTGTCCAAGACCCCGCCGGTAGAGCACTGAGGAGAGTAAGGGTCTCCCTATCGTATCTCCCTACCAGTTATACGTCTCCTTGGCGGAAAACACTGTGATACAGAATTCGGTGGGCTGACTTCTCACAGAAACAAGTGAGTAGGATTTTGACGCTATATGTAGATCCGATTCATTAGTGTGCTGTGTTGGAAGGATACATTAGAAGGCGATAGGCAATTGAGAATCGCTCTCCTCCGACCAGAGCGAGATGATTGGCGTTCGCCATGCGGAACACGGGATCGCTACCACTAGTGCGGAGGAATACCTCATCCAGCAATCGATGTGCGACGATCCCTTCAGAGCCGAAGCATGGCTGATCACGGCCAAGACGCTCTTCCCAAATAGTTTCGCGATCCAGTTCGCCATGTACGACATGTACAAAGGAACCCATCGGAGCTCCGACGCCGCACGTGAGCTGGCAAATTTGATGTCGACTTTCCCGAGCGAACAAGGACTCGCCTCAGAGATGAAATCCATAGCGGGTGAGTAATATTCCAAGAAGTCTCGGAATTCCATTCGGCATGACCCGACATGATAAGAGTCGGAGTGCGAGTCGAGGAAAAATTAATTGTCGGTCTCTCTTCCCCAGGCGCCATACAGGACAGCACGACGGTCATCGATTCTTCGCGCCAGCTTGTTGCTATATTCAAACACATGACTCCCGCCGTCCAATACGATCTCCTACTCTCAGTTTGCGATAATGCCATCGACATAACTGAACGATGTCGTTTTCTGTTGCTCGTAATGCGGAGATTTCCAGAGAGCACCGCGAAACTCGGCCCCCCGCTCATTGAAGAATTACTAAGCAATCAGAATGAGTCTCAGATCCCCGTGAGCATCCACAGGAAGCTCCTTGTCTGCGATGTGTTGCCTCTGATTTTACCGCGACTGCAACTCCCGGCGAAACTCGTCGTGGAGCTGTTAGAGCATTCCCTAGTCTTCTACGTGCGCTACATGAGCTCCAGCGATAAATATCTAGACTTGCCCATGGAGCCGAAAGAACTCTGGGATCGTCTGTTTAACCTGACGCGTCTAATCGCACAAAAACTGGATTGGAACCTCGCCGATCTGCTCGAGACTACTAACATTTCGGACAGTCAACTGTCTCGATTGAAGAGCTTCGGGGTTCCTCGATCTAGCATCGGTATCGTCGACCTATCGAAATCGAGAGTCGTTGCCGATGACGAGATCCAAAGGTTCTACATCACTTTGGTCCTATTCCTGCGCTCTGTACATTTTTACGGTCGCTTCACGTCCGTAATGGACGATCTTCCCGGATGTGTGCTTACAGACTTTCGGGAAACGCATCCTCAGGTACCAAAGAAGAAGAAAATCGATCGGGGCTCTAATCAGCTCTCGGCTAGCAAGCACTTATCGGGGAACATAGCTTTTTCTTTGATCAATCACTTCCAGACCGCGGTGAAGACTTGGAGTTTACTCATAAACTACAAGGAAGACTTCGACCGACTGTCGGAAACTGTTGGTTTGCCGGAATGGCCGTTCTCGAAAATATTCTTCATCGACTCTAAGATTTATCATGGTCAACATGACGAGGCCATTCGAATGCAGTGCAATCTCATGGTGACGGCAAAAACGGGGCTCCACGAACGTCTCACGGCGAATGTCCGTTTGGCAAGCTGTTTCTTCGCGACCGGTGATCGGCAGAACGCGCTAGCTCGGGTTCTCGAAGTAATCACGGATCTGCCGGAGACCGCTCCTGAATCGGGTGAAAGCACTGGCGGGTCGACACTGTCCAGTGCTCGGAATTTTTGCGCGCGGGTCCCCGAATCAAACCAGTTATGCTTCATTCTCTGTTCTCGAGTCGAAATTCTGCGATTTTGTGTTCGTCTGATAATGCTTTGTCTCAAGGATCGTATCGCCGATCAGAGAGACGATTCGGCGATGGGACATCTAATCGTACTCTGTCAGTCCGAATGGCCTACGTATGAGACTCAGTTCCATCAACTGATTGAGAACATCCGTAAAGTGAAAGCGTTTTCCTATCCTCTTTTCATGACGTACATCGTTCTCCCTGATATTCTCGAGGAATTCGCTTACTTGGCAACTCAACCCAGCCTTGAGCTGGAGAATAGTCGCTTGCAGCTTGATCTCTTGCCACCAGCACCGGGTTTGGGAGCAAGGTCACGAACGGTCACGAGGGGAGTCAACAGGGGGGCGAAGGAAGACTTACGATTGGCCATGGAGAAGCAGATGGCTCGTTCTGAAGAGGACGTCGATCAGATCATCGTATCGTTTCTCTTGAATGAGGGGAAACTCATCTTGGGAAAATGAGGCTTTGAATACTGGAATCCTAGTCGGTCATCACGAGACTAGACACGATGGCTATCGCGTGTTTCGAGATTTAGGAGGTTGGGTGTTATTGGTCAGCGAATAAATGTTCACGACGACTAGAGTAAACCTGTGTATTGCTGCATTCTGGCCGCCTGCTTGCCCAAGACTCCCTCGATTACGGCGAATCGACAGTGTTTCGAATGGATGAATAGGGATAACGGATGGAGCTAGCTGCCTTACTGAGCTTCAACAGTTGTTGAAATATTGTTATTTTCTTTATTGATGTTGAATTTGTTTACAAACGAGTCGTGGAACAAGTGCATCAGATGCCGAACTTGAGGAAATGTTTGAGTAGCGATTCGGAAGATAGATGTGCCCGAAAAGATCTTCCCTTCCCGAATCGAACTCCCCGTGTCGACCGTATTTGTGGACCCTGGCAGGAGTGCCACATGGATTGTGCGAGGCGGCTTATACTCTCCCTTGAAATGTGGCTGGACTTCGGCCCACTGCTCGTGCTCGTTCCGTAGGGAGCCGTGTTTATAAGAAATAATCTGGTTGAGGTTTTTTCGTGGGAATGCCTCGACTCTCTTGGGGCGCCGCTTCGAATATCGTGAAATCCCGTTGAAGGTACTCGTCCAGCTCCAGTATAGCCGCAACATTGCCGCACCTTCAATGCACAAGGGATTTCAGTTGTCATGGCACCAAGTTAGGGAGTCCGTATTTAGGGATAGTTCCATATAAGTTCTTCAGGATTCTTCTGAATGCAATACCTGTAGCAGTAGTTGGGTGCTGACCATACAGTCAGGACTAATTCGTTGAAATGCCATTTATAGCCTTCCATAACGAGCTGATGCGCTCGACATATCATATCGATTTGGTTTGTGGCATTGAATTGCTGCACGACGTCACTTCCGAAAAGGTACCTGGCGAGAGCGGCATCGATAGGAGTAAGTGAACTCGCGCAGTGTTCGACAGTAGACACTTTCTCATTCAGAAAACTATATTGACACTCACCCTGCGCCTCTCGGACTGACGCCCCATCCTTGAGTCTCCTCCGGGTCAGACCATAAGAGGTCACACATTGGACCATCATGAGGAACTTCTTGTTTCCGGTCAATGGTGCGAATCTGATCAAGTCTCTGAATCGATGGTGATAAACCACCGTGCACGCAGAATATTTTACCGTCTATGATGGCCGATAGAGACAAATAGTCGAAAATTTCCGTGCAATATCGCCAAACGGTGACACTGTTGTACTTCCTTAGACATTCATCGTAGAAGCCATAAACCTGCCGGAGAAATTGGTTACCATCGAATGAGAAACATTGAGGAATGCTCGGCTAGAGCGGAGCCTCTTCGAGGCTTCAATCCATTGCATTCAGACAGAGAGGAAGCGAAAGACTCACTTGAGTGATTTGTCGACTTTCGTGATTCCCCCGTATCAGGGTGATCCGGTCTGGATATCTTACTTTCAGGGCAAGCAAAAGCAGGAATGTTTCCACGGAGTAGAAACCTCGATCGACGAAATCACCCATGAAAAGATAATTCGTATCAGGAACGTCGCCCCCGACCCGAAACAGCTCCTTGAGATCGTAGAACTGGCCATGGATGTCTCCACACACCTGCAACACAAATATCTCTCGATGAGTGCACATGAAGTCGCTTAGCGGCACTTCTGCTCTCGAAGCTTGTCTAGGTCGCCTTGTGATCATCGTCAGGGGTTCGATTTTGAACCAAGCGTGCTAAATTCAATCGCTCCAAGAAGGGGATGTTACGCGCCTAGAGCCGCCTCAAGGCTTGCAGGAAAGCCCTCCTCGATTGGCTAAGAGCTCGAACTTACCGTGACGGGTGCGTCGACGATTTGAACATTGCTCTCTTCGATGAGGATTTCTCGAGCTTTGGCGCATAGAGCTTTTACCTCGCTCTCTTTGATAATCTCGCAGCGACGGAGCTGTTCTATTTGTCTGTCCAGATCCGACATCGAAAAGCCCATGGTATCTGCCATTCTCTGAAATACAATATACACAGTTGTCAAGGAACATTCCCTCTCGCGAACCCGAATCACTACGACATTACCCACAAACAGAGCCTCTTGCTGGTCGCGTAGCGCGACTGGAAACAGAGCGCCCTGAGCGGTGAGAAAATTCAGAGAGGCGGTCGGATACGCTGGTTCTCAAGATAGTGAACCTTGATTGAACAGACACCATGAGCTCCGAATATTTGGGGAGTGGTTTGTTTTCAAGCAGCGAGAATTCCGGTGCCGATGATTCCCATTGAGACACTGCCTCATTCGATCCAAGCGAGCATTAGTAATGAGCCCCCGACGTGATGTTCTCCTGTTAGAGCACTAATGTCCCGAGAACTCTCTCGCTCCAACCTCCGGATGGAAAGGAGCGTCAAGCGTCAAGTATATTCTGTTCTATTTTATTGGGAACTCCCGTCGACGAACAGCCCGCTTCGCCGATCATGGATAAGTACACGGGAGGAGGATTTCCCCCGGGATTCCCACCCTCGAACGGATCGCCCTCAAATATCTCCATACAGACCATTTACAGGTCCGTATCTTCGCTTTAATCCCAGACCTCGAACAAGAGCGCGTTATTTCTGTCCTAATCGAACGTGGAGGTGGAAGAGCGGGAGCCCTACCCTGGGGAGATCAGAGTAAATATTTTAGGTATAAAACCCGGCGTATCATGAGGATTCCGGTCCAGGGCGTTGAGGGTCACACACGACAGCCCGGAGAAGTCTGACGTGAGCCCCAACCGATGCACCACAGCCGAGCTGATGGCCATCGGCTCTTGGAATCGAAGAAGAGCGGACGTTCGACTGCACATCTTAGAATGCTGAGGGCTCGACAACTTCTCCATGAGTCCGAGAATACCGGATGGAGCCGAGGCCATCCCTCATCTCTAACATCAACTTCATGACGACGGTTCACGAGCTGCGCAGCATCACGGACCCGAGAAGTAGGCCGAGTCCGTGGATCTCTCTCTCAAGAAGGTGCTTCGATCAATAGATTTCCTCCCTGTTCTACCTATCTCATCCATCTAAAAGATGTCTCTTACAAGCTAGACGGGCATTCGCATTCCCCCATTGCGAAATTCTGAAAGATTCGCGTCATGACATGAGCGGGAAGTGAAGTATTAGAATGAGTCATTCGCTGACATTTCGCCACCTACCCCTCGGTCGCGTGCAGCTCCGCGCTATCAGTGGCTCCGGGTCACACGAATGCACCGAATCACGCGAATGTGCCGAACTCGCTGTCGATTTGGATCCGGTCTGTCAGCATCAGTGGAGTTTTCAGCACTTTGACCAACGGCGCTAGCGCTCCAGCATCGAGCCTCACTCAGAAGATGAGCACCACGACGTATCAACGGCGGCGGCACCAGCGGCTGCAGAAAGTGAACACAACAAAAACAAGCCTCATCCAGCGCGAGGAGTACCAGGGACTGGTTCGAATCGAACGAGGGCTTCATCGTACAGAAAATGAGCTCTCCCGGTATTTTCGAGATTTCCTCACGATTTAATGTGAGGGAAGTCGATCGCAGGGAATCGAGGCGCAGCTCAATGACGTTTGACTTGTTTTCTTTGCGCTTCGTGTCGTGGTACGGGATACTTTTCGGAATCGGTTCCGAGTCCCCGGCTGTTGCTGCCGGGTAGGTACGTCGGCGATTATTCCAGCACAACCAGATCGGGGCTCACAGCCGGGGTATATCATCACATCCCAGGCCTCGAGGTGACGACCGGCCCGGGGAGAAGCGCGTCGAAAATTCGCCGAGATGGCGTGTTTGTGTCACTGTCAAATGTCCGTGCGACATCATTCGAAAGTTCCCGCCAAAGTAGAACCGAGGCTGTCTCCTGTCTCCCATGAGAGAGCGGTCAAGCAGCGGCGGCATGAGTGAGTTGAGTGGTGTTGTTTGTGTGTGTGGGTGCAGCAGAGCAGCAGACGAATCTTTTGGGAGGCGGCGGCGCAGCGGCGGTTGTGTGATAGTGGCGAGTGGATGCGTGCATGCGTGAGTGAGAGGAAGGATAGAGAAAGCAGTGGCTGAAGGCATCGAAGCAATCTTAGTTGTCTTGGATACGACTGGGTCCGACGTCAGAGAAGCAGCCGTCGATGAGCCAGACCCGATGACGGCTCGCGCGATGCGCAGCGTGGATTATCAATGAAAAGTTTCAGCAGCTGCTCCCCCACAGTTGACAGCTTAGCTGTTGAGCTTTCTCAACCTTCGATTGGAGGAAGAATCTCGTAAAAGCTCGGATATACCGGCCGCCACTCGAGTTCGACGACGACCGACGGTGCGGCGTCGACTGCGATCATAGCTACTATAGAGCTGGCTATTCCGTGAGATAGAGTGAGTCAACTTCTTCGAGTATAGCCAGATCCACGGTGGTCGACCGTTGAGTGTAGCCGGTTTTCTGCCTGCAAGACGAACCGGTGGTACCTGGCCATGGGAAATATACAGACCGTAGGGCCTAACGAGGCTCTCATCGTTTCGGGTAAGTGTCGATTCTCATCAGTTCCGAGCTCTGATTGCGACTGTAAGGCGTTGGCCTCATTGACGGACAGGGGCTCCAGTCCCTTCATGGAGATGCTACGGCGCCGGCGAGCGATTGGAGCTCGCTCTGGGAGTCGACTTGTGGGCGAACGGAATTTAACCGGTGACTCCTATCCCCGCTAGTCTCGATATTTTCTATTGGCGCCGCGAATATGAGACTCGAGGCTTCCAGGCCAGCGTTGCTGATATACAATCATCCTCGAAGGAGTGAATGTCCTAGACCCGCCTATCAATACAGAAAGGTCGATGATGTACATGGCTAAGTCAACGATCTCGATTCCTTAGTGATCTAGGTTTTTCCTGTACAGCCTTTCTCGTGTCCTCGATCGACGAGTCTGTTTGGACTGCGGAATTGCGGAACTTGGAAACCGCCTGAAAAGCATAAAATTTTACGGCAGGATAGCTCAGGCTTGCCTTCGCGTCCTCGGAGCTGTATCGATCCCTAGGCGCAATACGGTGACTCTACAGGTCAGAGTCAGATCATGAGCGACCGACACGGCCGAAAAGTTCGTCTCCGGCTCGCCTCGAATTTTTCGCGAGAGAATAGATCTATGTATAGAGTTGCGATATGAGGGAACATTTCTTCCCGAAAAAAGGATTTTGTCCGCGCGGGCATCGGATCGACGAGCGGACAGTCTATTTCATGTCTCTGGTCCTTCCATGGAATTATTCCGAATCTCCAACAACTTTTCCCATGAGTTACACTCGGGTGAACTGAGGGAAAAGTTTCCGACCCAATCCCTGGCTTATGCTCGTGCACCATGGACCTCGGTGCCGAGACCGGGAATATTGTGCAGAAATTCAATGTCATCTATCGAATTCAATGGAATGGTATCTCCTCGAAAATTTCGGAAAGCGGACATTCTCCAGAAAATCTCGGAAAAGCGGACGAAACTACAAAAAATGAAGTGTCCTCTCATATCGCCAATTTACCAATGTATCTTCACCGATAATCGAAATTCCGTCCGACCCGTGTCGCAATCATGCAATGGAGGCGATCATGAAGCACGACGTCTATTCAATGCAGCCCCCCACCGATAAGACATAGATGGCGATGCATGGTGGAAACTTATTCCTGTATCAGCGTCCCAGCTCTTTTGAAGAAAATTGATCGAGAAGACTGCTCCTGGGAGCGACGGGATTCTCTGATGAGTGCTGCGGGCGTGTCCTTCTCCAGAGCGGGTGGCGAACAATCGTGTTATCGATCACATCCTTTCCATTCTTCAGGTCGCTCGTGCAGTTTTATTCAGAAAGTAATTGTTTGGATCGTTCTCTGCTAGGTCCTGCCTGAAATGACGAATTGAATCGCGCAAGACATGCATAATTCTTCCGTCTTTCATCTTGTTGACAATGATCGAACATATACCGTGACGGAGCTATTAGTAGTGGCTGTCTCCGGCACTGGCAATGATGCTCCCTCGATGAACTTCCTCGTTGAACTCTCCATGACCTGATGGGTCTTCGTAGAAGCTCCTGAGCACCCTTTGGGTGAATTTATGAAGACGAAGAACGGTCATTCCGCTCTGATCCCTGCATTCTAGACGATGGAACTTCCGGACATCGCGTTTGCGAGCGACATATAGTCTCTCTGTAGCTTCATTAGCATGAACATCCCCGAGGAAAGATGAGATAATCCTGGACGAAAGGAACGACTCTCATTGCCCTTTCTTTGAAAATTGCAGGAGGATGTTGCGGCAACTCTGCGAAGAAAATGGTTGTCGGTGGTTGGGCTTGGGCTTGGTGGTTCGTCACGGATGTTCAGCGACTAAGTCTTGAAGTGATGACCCTGAAACCTCGTTGCGAGCACGTTGAGACAGCACAAGGAGTTCCACTGACCGTCACGGGGGTGGCTCAATGCAAAGTACTCAATTTACCTCAAATTGGAAGAACCATAGAAACCATTTATACGATCGAGCCTCCCGGGACGAACGGCGACTAATATCTTTCTTTGTTCTCTGTAAAAGGTCATGACCGAGCAGGAATTTCTTTCGACCGCTGCCGAGCAGTTCCTTGGCAAGGAGATTGACCACATCAAGATTGTCATTCTCCAAACGCTCGAAGGTCATCTCCGAGCTATCCTCGGAACGCTCACGGTGGAAGAAGTCTATCGGGATAGGGATCAGTTTGCTTCTCTGGTGAGAGAAGTTGCGGCGCCAGACATCGGCCGCATGGGTATCGAGATTCTGTCGTTCACAATCAAGGATGTCTTTGATCAAGTCGAGTATCTGACATCTTTGGGGAAGGCCAGGACGGCCGCCGTAAAACGGGACGCAGATATCGGGGTTGCCCAAGCAGAGCGTGACGCGGGGATCCGGGAAGCTGAGTGCGAGAAGTCCGCTATGGATGTGAAATATGGGGCGAACACCAAAATCGAAGACTCCATCCGCATGTACGAGCTTCAGAAAGCTCAATTCGACACAGAAGTGAACGCGAAGGTATGCTCAGCCGATTTTGTTCATCCTTCTTGCGCCTCCTGAATTCCACCGACAGACTGAAAGGGCGCGAGCACCTGACTTTTCTTCCAGAAAGCCGAGGCTCAACTCGCCTACGAGCTGCAAGCTGCGAAGCTCAAGCAAAAAATCCGTAACGAAGAAATTGAAATTGATGTCGTGGAAAGGAGGAAAGACATAGCAGTCGAAGAAAAAGAAATCCTCCGTAAGGAAAAAGAACTCACTGCCATGATTAGATTACCGGCCGAAGCTGAAGCTTTCCGTCTCGAGATGATCGCGCAGGGCAAACGGTTAGTGAATTTCCCGTTTGGAACCTACAGATTCGCTGACATCGATAGTATCCGCTCTGATCTGATTCCTAATACTGCCGATGCCTCCACAGCACACAAGTTCTCGAGAATGCCAGGGGTGACGCAGAGAAGATAAAGATGACTGGTGCCGCCGAAGCCTACGCCATAGAGGCGGTAGGTAAAGCTGATGCGGAAAGGATGCGACTCAGAGCTGCAGCCTACAAACAGTATGGCGAGGCAGCCGTCCTGTCGTTGGTTCTGGAAACTCTACCGAAACTGGCTGCCGAAGTGAGTTCCCAAAACACTGAACCAATTATGAGAGGTGGATCATAAGGTTTGAAACTGAATCGTACTTACCTATCATCTATTTACAGGTTGCTGCTCCCCTGGCTAAGACGGACGAAATCATCATGCTCGGCGGAGATGATCGAACCGCGCAAGAAATCGGGAAACTATGCTCCCAGATACCTCCAACAGTTCAAGCCCTTACTGGTGTCGATATATCTAAGGTAAGCGAGACGCTCGTTGGTGGGTCGGGAGATCTATATAACCGAACTCATTGATTCAGCATGGGACCTCGCTTCCGTGATCACGCCCCCGATTTTGGTGGACGCTAAACGTGACATCGCCTCAGTTTCTGAGCCGGCAGACAGCAATGAGATAGATGATCCGCTCTATTTGATTGGCGAAGGAATGCTGCTTCGATTTCCGGGAGAATTCTTGGGAGACGCTCAAACGTATTTCTGGCAGATGAATATGGAATTCGCTGAGAAGACGAAGGACTGATCTCGCATGCGTTGACAACTATAGAGAGAGTGCCATTTTAGGTGCTCGAAAAACTGTCGGGCCGCGTGGGCCATGCAACTTCTTCGGTTTTCGACGTCCGAGTGGAGTCGTCTAGCGATGTGGCAGCTTGAAGCTCTCGTTCCGGACCATCGCAGTGGACGACTTGAGAAGCCTCTCCTTACCGATCATGACAAGAAAAGTTTGAGGAACTTCTCGAGTCAAGCACCAATTTAGCTGCTCTTTAGCTTTCGCGATGCTCGTCGACCAGGCTTACACTGAGACCCGATCCAGAGCGCACCGCGACACTCCATGCAGTCCCGCAGTTGCTTTGCTATCGAGTTCCCCTCCATCTCCAATTTCCGATGCTTCAAAAACGAGCGTTTCGTCGGTTGCGTTCTTGTTGGCAGCGAGTCACGTTTGAGCTGCACCTCATCTCCATGAGTCACTCGGAGTCTCAAGCGTGTGAATTCAATGAATTTTGTCTTTGCAGATTTTGACGAAGATTCCGGGCGCCAAGTAGAAGGCCCCGGTCACAGAAGTGCCTCACAGCCTCTTCACCCATCATCACCATCATATTCATTCCCATGACACCTAAAATCGATGCTGCGTTATAAGCAGACGCCAATTTCAATTTTCTACTACTTTTATCCCCCGCATGGAGAATATATATATACATATGCATCTTTATCCGGGATGATCTTCGGACTCCCTGATGGCATGTACCAGTAGCTTCTCTCGGCTGCTATCATCACTGAAATCGAAAACATCCATCTAGTCGATCGAAAGAGCTTGCGGAGTGCGTCGTATTGAGGGAAATACTCAGTCAGTCAGCTGCATGTTCCGGGAACACTTTCGATCATCCCACGCGCATGGGTTCCGTCAGTGGGAGTACCTGTATCTACTTTAATTCATAAACATTTGTAAGCCATGAAGGGTTTTTCCCTGACACCATCTGCAGAGGAAAAGTGCAAGTCTATGGCGTATGCCTCGAGCGCGTGAGGGAGGGTACATTCGCTTCCACCCCGCATGAATGGATGCGGCCTGGGCTTCACGAATCGATTCGAAATATGAAGCTAGGACGGAACTCCATCGTGAGCAAGACGATGCGAGTGGACTGCGCGAGAGTTTTGTGTGAGTTTCGACCTAGAGATCACGATGATTTTTCTGAACGAGAGGGGACTCACCTTGTTAATCAGACATTTCTGTGTTCACGATTGGATTTTTATCGCTGCTGATATATTAGTGAGCATTCTGAAAGGCTGAAGAACTCAACCATCGTGCAGAAAGACGATCCATCTCAAGCTTCCCTCCCCCTCTTCCACTTCCATTATTCCCGGAGGGAGATCGGCTGTCTAATCGTGATATGGTTCACTAGAAATTGAGGAGAATATCATTCCACAAGTTCTATCAATTCGGTCGAGTTCGTCCGCTCTCGAATGTTCGACCTTCTGAGTTCCGCGAGATTTTGGAATTATGGAGAACTACCGGAATCATGGAGCATCCATGGCATGGGTGGAAAGAAGAGTCAACGATTCTCTGACGTTTCAATAAACTTTATAATCCAACTTTCGAGGAGTCAGTGGTTCCGTCTCGAGCCGTTGCCAAAACGTTTTGAGATCCTGAATTTCATAACTTTGGACAGTCGCCTATCACACATTCCGCCATGAGGTGATCGGACTCAATTTTCCAGTAGCGCCGCGCGTTTCCTTTTGTGTGCTCTGCTGGATGAGGTGGGTCCATCGGCCGGAACGTTTGGGTCGGGACTTGAAAGATTCGTTTCCATTTCCACAGAGGCTTTCCCGGCGACGACGCCATTCATCTTCGAGCCAGATACTAGAAACGGAATCGTCGAATAAGGCGTGAAGTGGTATTTCTCTTCCAGAAAACCTTGGCACAAACACCACGCAACGAGTTGCTCAAATTGAGCTTTGGGCAACGATTTCGTCTTTTTTCGGAGTACGTCCACAAGCTTGTTGCCCGTCAAGCGAACCCCCGTCGTTTGAGCCTCTTCAATGGCCTCGCTCATCAGCACGACATATCTCGAAATGTCTATCGTTCTAGTCTGCTTGACACGAGAGCAATTGTCACAGCGTTGCTCGGTCTGCCCGCAGGATGTGCCTGAGAACGATGTTCCGTCACAAAAATATTTAGCCAGGAGGAGGCGTCTACAGTGAATTGTATCGAGACAATAGTTCACGACGTTGTAGAGATTGCGCACTCCAGCTTTTTCCGAAAGGACCATGGAAGACTGCCGGAAAATATCTTGAAATTTGAAAAATACTATGCAGTCTGCGGGCTCGCCGTCACGGCCAGCTCGACCAGACTCTTGATAATAATTTTCCAGTGATTTGGGGATCGAATAGTGGATGACGAAACGAACATCACCCTTGTCGATACCCATGCCGAAAGCAATCGTGGCAACGACAACTTGTATACTACCGGTCGACCATTTCCGATGGACTCGAGATCTTCGTTCAGCTTCGAGGTTAGCGTGATAGGCGTCAGCCGAGATGCCGAAATCCGATACGAGGCATCTGGCCACCTGCTCAGCTTCACGGATCGAGAAACAGTAGATGATACCGCTCTGACCGGCGTATTCATTTCTTATGAGGTTACCTATCGCTGCAGTGATATCATCGGTATCGTTCTTGACCGAATACCGCAGATTCGGTCGATCGAAGGAGTCTCGGAGTACGACCACATCTTGATCGAGGTTCAACATGCTAATAACGTCCGAAGTAATGCTCTGGGACGCCGTGGCAGTTAGTCCGATTAGGGGTACTCCTGGGAACTGTTTCTTCAGGATGCCGAGGTAATTGTAGTCAGGTCGGAAGTCGTGTCCCCATTGCGAACAGCAGTGCACCTGTGGGAGAAAAATATCCCGCTCGAACTGTGGTGATGCCTTAGCGTATCCGCCTCGGGGCTGCGTGCCTGCCCCCTTCCTAGCCCCAGGACATTGCCTCGAAATGCTTGAGTAAACGAGCGGGTCGCGAATCTAGATTCAAATCCCCATGAAGATCCGAACCCAGCCCCCTCCAAGGAAAAAATGTGCGACCGCCCCTGGTGGGGAGGGCTCAAATGAAGCAGAAGCTTCTTAACTAACCTCATCGATCGCGATCAGCTTCAGTTTCTTCATCTCCCAGCATTTCTGCAGCTTCGTCATGAAGAGCTTGGATTTCGCCAGGCGTTCCGGGGTCACGTATAAGAGGAGCGTGACCTCCGCCGGTGATGGGAAAAGCATTCGCTTGAGAGTCGCCGATGTCTGCTCTCGAGTCAGTTGCGAATGGAGACTGCCGACTGGGAGGGCGGGGTATCTTACGGAGACTTGGGTTACCTGAGAAGAGCTCATCACTTGAGCGCGACAGGAGCGGAGGGCTTTGCACGCTGGTGCATGCGCTTCAATGTTCCGCTCACCTGATCCTCCATCAAAGAGATGAGGGGTGTTACAACAAGCGTCAGTCCTTGGAGATAGAAGGACGATAGCTGATAGATAAGGCTCTTTCCAGCCGCGGTAGGCATGATGACGATGCAGTCCTTGCCTATGGAGGAATTCTGTGCGTGAAGCCTCATCTTGACCGCATTCGAGAAAACCACGTATGGAGACATGCCCATCCGACAGCAGCTTCAAATTCGGAAGGGTCTTCGCAGATCCCACCACCTCCAATCATCTCGACGCAATTAATAAGGTCGTCATCTCGTTGATATCGAGCCGCTAACCAGACAGAATGCAGTTGATAGCCGCCTCTTGCGATCCGCGGAAGGCCGGGATCTTGAATGTGTCTGCGATGATGCTCCTGATGGGCCCAGACCACGGAAAGTCCACATCCTTGAACTGAGAGCCATCTTTCCGAATGGTCTGGAAAGCACCGATGATAACAGCGCGCGGGAACCGGAATTCTGCCACTAACGACAATCCCAGGCATATAATTTTCGAGGTATCGAATAGAATCAAATGAATTGTGATCGGCAGTGACGCCCGCTCACCTTGGCTTTGATGACTTCCTGGAGTTCTCTACGTTCATTTTCCAACGCTCGTTCTTCTAGACGCAGCGTTCGTATCTTCCGCCGAAGCTCCTCCAGCAACTTGTCAATACCCAGGATTCGCTCCTTTTCGGCGCCCAGATCAGGCGTACGAGCCATGTGGAGCACCGAGGTCCAAATCTGGGCGACGTCATCAAGATTGCCTTATCGTGTTGGGATCTCTCTTTCGACGAGAAAGAAATCGGAGCTCCCCTCCCCCGAGTCTTCTCGACCCTTCGTATATGCATTCACTCTAACGTCTGCTCACTACGAGTTTCTGAGCACCAGCCTCGCACCCCAGTATACCGTTTTTCACCCCGGTCTGCGCAACTGCGATACTTCTCGTTTTTGTTTTCTATAAGAACAATGACTTACTCATTCACGATTTCCGGAATCGTCAATTGTTGTAAGTTTTGTCAAGCAATTTCCGATACTAAAATGAACTGTTTTTTTCCGATTCTCTTAGTGAACGTTGATGGCCCTGAGGTCCGAGTGTCTCACGAGAGAGCTCTTCGTAAGGAACAGAGCTTGGTTCGGGCTTTCCTCAGATCCGGTACAAAATGATTACCAGCATGAGCATTTATTCTCGCATATGTACTTCTCCTTCAAATCACGGCTGAGTGATGATTATTCACAATTCTTGTTGGGAATATCAAACTCATTTTGCACATGATGGGAGCTTGTCGAATCCAGCGGCGAATGATTTCTTATCAATTACGGTCCTCCATCACTCGGACTGGTCGAGTTAGGACAGGACCCAACCATTGGATACTCGTTTAGCGGGGGAGAATGAAAGGATAGATCGTCCATTCAGGCTTGCCAAGGCTTCGCTTACAATGAAAGATGAGTTCTCTCAAGGTTCTCACTGGGATCGCGTCCAATCCCTGCGAAACGCACTCGCCGAGACACTCAACGAGTCTAGGCCGCTAGTGCAACCGCTCATTCGAATCCGCGCCGGCATCCCGGCATTCACTCCAAGTAATGCTGACTCTTCGGGGCGAGAGTCTCACTCTCATACGTGCAAGAAAACCTTTTACCTTACGTATACATTCCTAGGGAACGGCGGAGAGCGCGGAAAAAAGGTCGCTGCGTCGCGCTGCCTACATGATTCCTTGAGGAGCGCAGACCTGAGAGCTCGTTCGAAGATTGAAGGCAGATGACCACCATCAGCAGCACCACCAGATGCTGATGGTGATCTTCGCTTGAAATCAGTGACTCGCTTTTCGACTTCGTAGAACTTTCACCCGAGCTATGCGAGATGGGAAGAATCCACCACGGCGGCCCTAGGACCTGTAGGCTGTTTTATATATGTGTAAATACATGAAGCGTACGATGGGAACTTCCTTGAATCATCGATTATCACCGAGAAGCATTTTGAAAAGCATACGCCATTCCTGGGCGATGATACAAATTGTTCCGTCAATTCACTTGTTTCGTCCGACGTATTTCAGAAGTCAACATTTCAGACGAGTTTCATCCCGCAACCTCCGCTGGAGGCTCCACGTATGTCCAGAAGCATAGTGTTGGCTGTTACGCAGAGTATGAGCTCGCGATTGCAAGCGAATTAAGGATGTAGACCGAACTCTTGGAATCAGCTTATTGAGCGATGTTGAAAAATCATCCGTCTCAGCGGTGTGGGAATCGGTGCTTCACCGGATGTCCAGGAAGAGCGAAGAAGCATAAGACTCGATCATGGAGTCGACGAGAGTCTACCTATGCGACGGATCTTCCGTGGAAACGTTGAGTTCGCTGTTCGAGGTTGAAGGAAACAAGATCCCATTCTACCGAGAAAGAGTCCTCAAGATTCTTGACTCGCTCCATCGCCGAATTGGAGTCGAAAGGTTTAGTGCGGAGCATCTTTCGTCATTGCGGTATAGGGACGAGGAAGTCAAGGGAGCGAATGGAGGGTCGTCTTCGACTCGATGGACTGCAAGGCAGACGCGGATCCAGGCGACGAAGCTCCTGGATTTGAGGATTCGAGAGGCCAGAAACTTTGCTCGAGCTCCTCTGAAACGGAAACATCCAATACCAGAGCATCGACGCCTCTGATCGCGATCTAATGGATGATGAGGAGAGGATCCCCGCTCCCTTCTCGTCTCTCGAGATATCTGGTAAAGATCATCGTCAGGAATCCTCCTTGAGTTCTCCTGGAACTGAGGATATTTGCTTCTCCATGCCGCTCGGAGAGACCCCGGAGCGATGTAAACTCTTTCATGCTATTGTAGTCTTCCGAAGCGATTTTCGGAAGAACGCGTCTGCTTGCCGCGCTTTCAGAAGCCCCCGGCTCTGTATTCCATGGCGATAGCAATGAGCAGACAGCTCAATAGCGGAGGACCGCATCAGGTGCCTTCGCCCGCTGCTGCAGCTGCTGTGTCCCTCTTGTCTTGTTCGCTATAGCTAGATTATTGCTGTAGGGGTTTTTTTCCTCGGCTGGCGAAGGAGTCCCTCGAACAAAAATCGGGCCATCGAAGCTCGGTCGCCCTCGGGAAGCATTTTGGAGGGGAGCTCTGGGCCTGATCGACGCACTCATGCTGTTCTAGTCTTGAACACTTGAGCTGGAACATGGAGAAGATCCCTTCTTTCGAATCGAGCAACGAGGTGAGTCGGGTTCGATATCATTCAAAATGCTTGATTGTTTTCCCCCGGATCGATGAGACATTAAGGCATCCGCTGCCCGAACGGAGGTATCCTATGCCATTCCATTGGTCTTCTCGGAAATGATGGACGGCGACAGCAGAGACGCCTGATGCTCGATCGGTTGAACGATAAAAACAGTTTTGGTAGCCCTGCGTATGCTGTCATACGAGAGCGATTCTACTCGTGAAGAGTTTACTGCACGAGTTCTGATGATTCGAACGTGTACTGCTCGTCGTGATGAACTCCGGGATGAGGCTTTTTGCGGAGGCCTTAGCCCAATGTTTGTGTTGGTATCGAAGAGCCGAGCAACGAAAGCGTTTGCTCTCGGCGGCTGTGTGACTTGTTCGAGCATTCCGACCAGCACGAACTTTGACCTCGCTATCCTCCGATCAAAGTTTCCCAACGCGAGGCGATCCATGAGTGTAGATGGAGATCCCGTCTAGGCCGGGGGGCGCGGGATCTCTCGGAGGGAAAAGCCAATGTTTCGGATGAGGAGAACCGTATACATATCTCGAATGAGCTCATAAGGAGTAGGGCATCAAGCTCTGTGACATGGCTCTCACCTTTAGGTTTAGCCGAGCATGTTGAAGTCTTGTGAACAGAGCTCTGACCAACGACTCGGAACTGTTCTTGCGGGGAGGGGTCATTGTTCCGGGTAGGGGAGCGATACCTCGGCCTGCCTCGGACATGAGTCATGTGCGGTCAGGACTCGCTGGAATCCTCGAAGCGCTGAGCCGAAATGACCGTGCGCTGACTTTCCTTGTACTATAGAGATTGTCGCGCTCAAGCGAAATTCTACGGGAGATAGTTATCGCGTGCGACTCACATCACTGTGTCGGAGGTGCTCCTTGGCGACGCGCCTACTATCGACTCGTCCCGCGATTAAGTTACTGCATCTCCTCTTGACCTCCATCTCTTAGAGGATGCAGGAGCCCCCAAACTTGTTCCCTCCCTCGCCGTCGCTAGGACGGCCGTGAGAAGGGAAACAATTATATGTTCCAGCCCTTGATTGGATAAATAATTCCTCCGTCCTGAAAACTTTCACCGATATGCTGGAAAGCGACCTCCTGGGCTCCGGTCGGCTGGCCTGCTCACAAACGTTTTCAATGTTGCTATCAGTCTTGCGTAGACCTCTCGCCCGCTCCCTCAGACTTCTAGACATTTCGTCACCCCTCCGAATTGCATGACGTCCGGAGAAACTCTTTACTCCAGTCTTGATTTCCCCGCTACTCGCTCGGCGGGAGCACGCAATTCTCAGTCGATTGCGCTGAATAGGCGGAACTCATGCGATACATGCTGGTAGATTTCCCCAATAATCTCGCAAGATTTGAAAATTATCTCCTCGCTAATCATATCGGATGCTTCCATGCAATCTCTTGGCTCCGTGAGCCCTCTCGTGAGAGCCGTCCTCACGAAACAGTATGAAGGAGAGCCTCCCGCAGCCCTCCGCCATTGAGGACTCTCGCCGAAAAACCTGCGACGCTCGGCGTTGAAGTCTGTAGAGGGGGCTTTTTTTCTCTGTCGAGGTCTAATCCACGAAGTGTCTCCAGCAAACGTCGTTCATCAGCTCGGATTCGGACGAGGAGTCGACAACGTCTAGCGAGCAACCGTCTACGACAATGCACTCGTCGTCTAGCAGCGACGACGGAGACTCCCGTTCCCTACTGACAGGAGCCGTGTACGTTCCTCCGCGAAATCTGCGGCGGCCCGCTCTCGACGACTCCGAATCGGAAAACGGTCAATGCCGATTAGTCAAGGTACGTACTCGATGTAATGTTCCGTGCGGCAAGTCGTCGCGATCCTTTGAGAAGAATCCATCTTCCCTCATCATCAATAATGATCGATTCTCAATTATTCTTCTTCTAGGCCGGACGCTCTTCAGGTTCAGGCGATAGTCATCTTGTACCTGCTGGAACGAGTCGGGATCACGGAGTCTCGAGGACCGCATCGAGCGGAGCCACGGAAAGCACAGACTCATCGTCTGAGGGATCTTCAACTGTAGAAATATTGAGGCCGCCATCGAGAGAAGTACTCATTCAGCACAGACCTAGTTTCCATACCGCTAGACGTCAGCGTCTACGGAAACTTATGAGAAGGTAGGCGCGAATGTTAAACGCATTTTGTGGGTTCATTATTATCTGGGCATCGACCGACCGACCGACCGAAAAGCTGGCTGTGTCTCCCTCAAAAATAAGCAATGCAATTAATCGTGTTTCTCTCAGAAAATTCCAGAGTACATCCCTATACCGGCCGGTGCCGATTCCTTCGCACGACGTAGTAGATCTCACCAATGACAGCGACGAAGAACTTTCCAAGCCTTCGGCATCCGGGTCGAACGACGCAACAAACTCTGAAAACCATCAGCCTGAAGCTCGAAGTAGTCAAGCTGCGCCTCAGAACGCCACTGCCATAATAGTTTCTGCGGATGCCGCAACTTCTCAGCAGCAAATCCCTGCGAATACGGGGTCATTGCCGATTGAGCTGAATGTCGGAGCGGCAAGCAATTCTTCTCCTTCATCGCCACGAACCCGAGAGGTTACAAACAGCTCACCCATCATCACGACGGCGGAGTTTGCGGCCTCAACGCCGAGGAGTGAGGGAGCGCCTTCGCGCGTCTTGGGAATAGAGCCCCAAGCGAGATATCACCATTGCTCATGCTGCCTATCCAACTTCGATGATGTGTGCCAATGCGGTCGACGTAGACACGGATACCGCTGTCGGGCCTTGAATTCGCGCCCCACCGATAATCACAACTCTCCGATGGAACCAACAATCATCAGACTCCGCGATGGATCAACCCTCAGTGTCGCGCTCACGGGTGCTTCTCCACGTGCGGCGGCGGCCGCGGCGACAGAAGGATCGGATGTTCACGGCGAATCTGCCGCCATGAATTACACTCCTGTTTCAGTGGCTCCTTATGTAAATCTCCCCAGCCGAACCCCTCCGACAATGTCTGCCCAAGTTTGTAGCAATACCGTTGCCGCCTCGGCGCACTCGACCGCGGCGAATCCGGCTCCAAGCGCCGTGCCAGCAGCTGTGGTGAGACCTGCACGTCTGAGCTCGAACTTCCGCCAAAATGCTCTGTGGGAACAGCAACAAAATCGTGCAGAGCTCCAAAGATTCATTTCGACTCAAGTACCGTTCCCATCGTCTCCATCGTCATCATCGTCATTACCATCCAATCATCATCACCACCATCACCACCATCATCATCACCACCACCATCACCGCATACGCGGTAACAACGCCTACATCTTCTCGAAAAATCCATACGTTCGCACTTGGCCATCGTCGTCGGCTGCCGTATCTCCCTCGGCTGCGGCTCCACAATCCTCAACGTCCCCGACCCTTCTCTCAACTCCCTCGGCAGCTCCCGTGCCTCCGGGCTCGCATGTAGCGGTCGTAGCGGCGGTCGCTGCGGCTGCGGCGGCTGCCGCAAGAAGCGAGTGGCCATCCTTCCCGGCACGTTCGGCGGCTTCTCCATTCGAGTTCTACGGCAATCTCCGTCAGCAGCAACAAACGGCCATCCCCTCAACTTCTGGAGCCGCGCCGCAAGTCATACCGAACGTAACCTCTTCGTCCGCTTCCGTACCTTCATCCTTAAATTCATTATTAGCTTCCTCATCATCATCATCGACAGTAGCCAGCGCAGCGTCTCCGGCACCGTCCACTTCAAGCGCCAACCAGTCGGGCAGAAATCGAAGACCTCTGCAGCCTCGGCGCACGATGTCCGAATGCAGTTGTCCCCCGCCAGATTACTTCGCGTCGTATAATCCTTACCGTCTGGCGAGTCGCGTCGCTCCGGCGCAGCCTCCTCCTCCTCCGCCCCATCTGCCCCTACCGCTGGGCGACCCATCGAGAACGTATTTCGAGAGGCCGATGAACCATAGTGATTTCCTGCGGTTGGGGGTGCTGGCGACCGCTAGATCTTCCATGCCCCTCGGCAGTTTCCCACCCGTCAGCCCGATCCCTTCGATGATGGGCATTATAAGCGCTGTGATTGACAATTTCACCGTCAAGTACAATTTGAAGATAGAAGACATGAAGGAGGTAAGTTCAAAGATGGAAATAATTTCGAAATCGAGAAAATTCATCGCTTCCTTTCCGGAAAAGCGCTCCTCGCCGACGTTCTCATCGTTGTCTCTCTCTCCGTAGGGTGTGAGGTGTTCGATCTGTCTGACCGACTACGAAGTCGAAGAAGAAGTGCGGAGACTACCTTGCATGCACCTATTCCATGCGGCTTGCATCGATCAATGGTTCCGCGCAGACAAACGCTGCCCTATGTGTCGCGTTGATATTACAAAACGTCCTGAAGATGAGCTACAGCGCATCGAAGCCCAGGTTTTCATGCCGACGCAGATTACACGTACACCACCCGTCACTCCCCCCCCTCTCACGGTGGATGGGGGCACCGCGTGAGACGACTGACTCGCATGCTCTGATCGTGATTTCGGGGAGCGCTCTTCGGGTTGTCGCGCGAACTGAGAATCTTACGAGATAGCACAAGCATTGTGATTATCTAGGTATTATTCTTTACGCTGTCGGCTCCAGAGGCGGAAGAAGCCCGCTCTAATCTTACTCGCGGAAGCGAACACGCGCGGGCCGTAGTCTCCGCCAATCACGGTTTCGAATCTCCATCCCAGAAACGAGCGCGATCCGATCCGTCTGACTACCATCGATGCTCCGAGAATTTCCGCAATGGAGAGCAATCGAAGCAATATTTCAAAGACTTGGTACAATGATGTAGATACATATTATGTAGGTATGGTCGGAGCCGGAGCTATCGCGAGCCATGGGAAGAAAATTTTGCGTTTCCATGATCCAAGGACCCGGAGGGACTTTCGGACGTGAGAGATCGAGCTCTTAGAAACCTCAGACCTACGATCGAGCGGAGGGGCGTTCCGTCATGTTCACAGGATCAGATGTCGAGTTTCGGAGCTTCGGGCTCATGCCGCGAGGATGACGTCAGGGATCGACTGGAGCGCCAGCTCCGAACGGACAGTTCTACATAGACACTGGTGTATCGAATTGTGAAGTTGTCTACCTTACATCGATTAATCCAATAAAGACAGAGTTCTCAATACCCTTCCCAGCTCGGTGGAATTATGCCCACTCACATGCATGCATAATGCCCGCAATCCGAGCATCGACATGAAGCGAAGAGCCGAGATCGAGGTGTTCTAGACGAGGATTCAGTGGACCGGCAGGTTCCAATGAGGTCTCGGAAGCGCTGCAATCAGACTGTGGTCCGATGTCGAGGCCTCCTTTCTTTCAAAGTTTGATCCGGGCAGAGAGAGCATACCTAGGTGCTGTCTCTTTGGGATCGGATTCAGAGTTTTGTCATGTAGAATTCCAATCCTCGACACCGTTGTTCGCTCTCGGAGGTGCTGTATGACCCTTGACGGGGGAGGTCGAAGATCGTCGAGGACACTGAGAAGCATAAGCAAAAAAGTCACAGTGGAAGTGTCATGGACACTACCGTAATGGAGGTGTGAAAACGTCTTCCTAACCTCATTTGAAGGGTGTATGGAGGGATTCAAGAGAGTATGATCGAACATGAAGAGAAAATTATTTAGACAGTACTCTGCAGTCAACATCATAGTATGTTGCCGTAAATTAATCGATTCGGACTTCAGCGCATCGCAAGGATCCAGGTGTTCTATACCGTCATCAGCGATGGAATCAGCTCCAATGAGGGAATCCTTGGAGACAGACCGATCCACCTCGATATTGTAAAGATTGTAGAGGGTTCGCTCGACCAAATGTAGCCATCTCCACACTGATGATTTTTTCACGAATCCGCTGATGTATGATGACCTATGAATGATTTTTTCTTCAAGTTGACATTGAATGCGTGGAGTCGTCATCTAAACCACGCGGCAGGGATCGCACCATAGTGTCAACTTCCGCGGGCACATTTATCACCTGGTCAATGACACCATGAGAACCCTCTCGAAGTAGGCGACGGATCTGCATGAAAGGTATTCGCGGGGAGATCAGTCTTTCGGTTATAACTTATAAGATTCAAGTCCGGCAAGTTCGATGGCTTAGGGGGAACACATGTCCATTCGTCCTACTCATTGCCGGGATTTTGTTTGTTCGACTAACTCTTAAACAATTGCCGCAGAGTCTAAACATGATCGTATCCTCGCCTGGGAAATGGTTATCATTAGAGCTGCGAAGTTCAGGCACTAAAAAGTCGAAGAAAAGGCAGGCAAAAAGGCACCGAAAAACACCGGAATAGGCACTGAAACTGGGCAAAATAGGCATAAAAGGCAGGTGTTTTGCCATCTAAATCACTTCGATTGGCTCCGATTCGGTGATCCCCACCCCAGTTTAGAGCTCTATCCAGTTTACGGAATGACACAACGCCACCCGGGGGAAGATTTCCGTTCAGTGTTATCGCGCAACCACGTCCTGAACTCTCGAACACCATGATTTTTCCAAAGCACGCACCTCCCGACCGAGGGGTGTATCCGGATCAGTAGTGACAGGACTCAAGACCCGAAATTCCCGGCATTCTCCTTGAAATTTGACGCCGATCAAGCCAAAATAGGCATTTATGGCAGGGAAAACCGAAAATAGGAAAAATTGCCATCTTTCCGCTGAAAAAGGCAAAATTAGGCGTTTGAGGCATAATGCCTGAACTTCGCAGCTCTAGTTATCATGCTCGCCGTTCGAGAGGTCACTGCCTTTGAATCCCGCTCAAACCATAGCCGATCGCACACATTGCGCGCTTGTCCGAACTCATTCTCTTCGAAGCTACGGCAGATGTATGAGGATGCTCGTTACCAGACATGGAACAGTTCGGGAGATCTCGCAAAGCTCGGGTCAATCCGTTCAAAAATCGCTCCCGCAACCACTGGCTGATCCTCATGCGAGAAACTGTTCGTGACGGAAGCCCCTATGGCGTATCAATGAAGGGTCGAATGGTTCCGCTAGTCCGCGCTCGGTGCTAAGCAACCCGCTCCGCGCCCGTCTTCGATTTTTTTGTCGCCTTGCGTTTCCGACTTGCTAGTTTAGGTCTCATCCTGAGAATGAGACCATGTGGAAAAGAAAATAATACTTCCTCTGGAATGAGATGCCCACCGCAGTTGTGGGAAGTGCCGTTCCTTCAAACTGATATTTGGTACATCGTCGTTAGAAACCATATCAGAATAGAATCTGCCAAAGCAGATAAATGTAGGTACGCTATCCGGGAACGGGTCGAGGTGTATTCGTCGAGCTTGCCACCCTCCTAGGTGTTCTGGTTTCGAATGTACACTCTATCGGGTGCGCTACAAATTGGCCTACCTGCTCAGCTGTCGCAAGTCCCGGAGAATTCATTCACCGCCGGGATCAATTTATTTATTTATTTAATCAATTTATCTATTTATCAATATTTTAAGATATTCGGAGGGGCCTTTTCAAGACTGTTGAAGATGATCAGATCGACGATACAATTCCATAAAAATTGGACGGAAGAAGCCACCATAAATTCGCTTCAAGTCTTGACGAACGAGAACTAGATGTGAGCCGCACAAGCGGAGTTTGATGGCCCCGAAGTTGGACTTTCGTTGCACGAAAGACGAAGTACATTCGACCGACCACCTATCCTAAAGACGTTTTCACGTCAAAAGGGAGCTCTCCGAGAAGTCATTCAAGTTGCGCCCATTTCCGGATGCTCTGACGGACGAATGAAAATTTCCCTCTTGGTCCTTACGAAGTTTCACACCGATCGGAGCGCTGAACGGTCTGAGGTCTCGGTGTTTCTTCTCATGTTAACTTCTTCGACCGCACTAAACATCGGGATGAAAAATAAATTCGATTGTCGATGGCTTGATGAGTGAGCAGCGATTCTGAACACCGCGTTCCGGAGACCTCTTCGATTCGTTTGAGAACGCTCCCACTTGCATCTTGGTATTTATTCGTAGGGTCGGATTGAGTCCTTGTTTTCTTCCGGCTCCCATGGACGGGAAACGATGATGTGTATTTGAGCATCGACTCGGAAAATACTGATAGGCGGAAAGATTGCATCCGGCTGTCGATCGGGACATGACTGGCGCGCGGGATGCGCGAGGGTGAGCTCTCGCTCCCGGGACGTTCCAAAAAACAGGCGACAACGTTGATATGCCGACTGTCCGCCTGGCCCTTTCCGTCGACAGCACGTCATAGGGCGAGACTCGCTTTCCGGCTCGGAAGATCGACGCTCCATTCTAGCGAAGCGAATCCGGCTGATTATGGAAGTATCAGAAATTCTACTCTATGGAGGATCTTCAAGACATGGAGGGAATTGTTCGTGTCTCCGTCACAATCAGTGTTCTCAGCACTGACATGAGTGAAGCAGGCAAGATGTTCAAGGTGCAGGCATCCGAACCGCACGAGGCGTAGGACAGAATGATTGAATAAACAAGCAAGCAAACTTTCGAGAAGCCAGAATCGCCGAGATTGCGAAACGGCAGTCTCGCCATCCGTCGAGTTTGTTATGCACGTATCGGCTGGGGGAGGCCCCCTAAAGTAACCGGGGACATGAGGAGCGCACCCCGTCGGCGCAAATGATCCTCGACCCAGGGTTCTGATAAGCCTTAGCGGCAGAAGAGCCACGGAGCTCGAAGCTGGGAGTGTCTCATTCGGCTTGAGGAGTTCATTGAAGGCGAGAATCTGAGCCTGGTTGCCAGCCATCGATCTAGCCTGATTCCGGAGCAACCCTCGGGATGACTTCGGATGGGTGAGACTCTTGTGGAGTCTTGGGGGTCGGGTGTTCAATGTGTGATATAATCTTCTCGAGACAATCTCGATCGAGTGTATCACGATTCCTGGCACCCCGCATGGCTTCATACGGCCTCTATGATGTAAGTCCATGCTCTCGATCTCGGTACCTCAATAGACCTGATGCGCTTCTGATTGCAGTCGACTTCAGAGCGCTCGTCACAGCTCGAGGGGAGCAGGTTCGATATTGGCTCCCCTGCGGTGGAATCGGCGCGTCGCTGTCTGTTGAAGATTCTTTAAGATGGGGGTGCACATCGCAGTGAGCATTGTTCGCAAGACTCCCATTTCATTTTGAGCTGGTCTCTCGCCGGGACAATTTTCGACCCACACCAAGCATCTCGCCCCTTCTCAATCGCTCTCCTCTCTGCTCTTCTCTCTTAAATGGTGTGGCTCCCTCCAAAATGATGTGGCTCACAATCAGCTTTTCGGAAGACAGCCCTCGTACGTAATCTGGAAATTTCGAATTGCGCGCTCACCCCTCGTGCCGGTACTCTCTCCAAGAAGGCCGACGGCCGCTGGACACTACGGTCTGGCGTGAACGTTTCCTGAGCTCGTGGTTGATTGTGCGGAAAATTTTATTGTGAGGATCAACATGTGCGAAAAAACGTAAGTCGAAAGCCGTGGAAGTTCGGAACAATGATTTGCTCGGGGCCGACTCGTCAGCATCGCCCGATGTCACCGTCCCTCAGATCCGACAGGATCAGCTGATTCCCGGTAGCCCTGAATCTCTGAGCTAAGCGACATTCCTCAGGAATACCTAGTGTCAGTCGTGCCCCATCCTTGTCATTCCTCGAGCGAACCGAATTAGGAGTCTACGTAACTGTCAGCCGGAGAAGAGAGTTCCGCCTATCCTACTGATATATCCGAGACATCTCGCTGACTGACTCTAATCTGGCCACTGGAAAGTCGAGTGATTTTGGAGGAAACGAGATCGTTTCCACATTTGCTCCGCACGCAGACTGGAGCCTAGCTTACGAAAATAGATCAATCTGCGCCAGTGCTCCGGTACCCGAGGCTCCTGGTTGTTCCGCCAGGCAGCTGATAGGTTCTCTCTTACGTACTCTTATCGGCTCAATCTTGGATCGATGAATAGCGAGCGGAAATCTGAGGTGAAGTTCCATCGCAAGCTGGAATCCTCGAGCATTGAGCGGACGACGAGACATCTGGGTTGTCGAAGTTAGAAGAAGGTGTTCGAAGAGATATCTGCGATCTGATCCGCTTGCAATGCGCGCACCTAGTATTTCCCGGATATGACCCTGAAGAGTACTTCTCCCAATGTCGTAATCAAGCGTTGAGGGTCTCGATTGGCGTGGCAGGGCTCTTCTCCGAGATCAGATGGCCGGAAGTAGACGCTAAATAGGATTTGATTTCTTCTACGATCCATCTACCCTCTGTGAATCGATAGAAGCATTGGCGGTCGATATCTTTTCTCGCAAAATATATAGTATGTAGAGCCCAGAAGACCTTCATTTTCTCCGTCCCGAAAGTATCAATGCTCCTCCCAGGCGACAATCATCGAGAACGGAGAACTATCCTCCACGCGACCTCTCTCGACATCTGTTTGCTGCCCTTGCGATTCATATCGGTGTGATCTGTCTAATCTGTCACTGCTTTTGCTCGCAAAGTCACAAGGGTGCTCCGGTTATTTTCGAAGCGCTGCGGGCCAATCGAGTTTTCGCTGATTGAATGATGAATTCTGAATCCTCTACGAGGATCAGGGAATGCAATTCTCTATCGGAGGATGAGTGACCTCAAAGCTCGACCCTTATCGATCTGTATCCCTTCCACGCTGGCCTAAGGCTTGTGGAGGGCTGCTCTTGTCGAAGAGTCTACGATGTAACTCCGGAGTTCCGAAGCATTATCAGCGAGCTTCGAGTCGTAGCCTGGACATCCGTGTAGACTTCCTCCCATTCCTCTGTAGCGGAACCGGGATTCCGGGATGTGGCCCCGAAATTCGTGAATGGGTGTGATCTTAGCCCGGGGCATTGAACAGGCATTACAAACAGAAAATTCGAGCCAATTACTGATCGGAACTGAAGCAGGGCTTTCTGGGACATTCAGTGAGTACTTTCCTCATGGGAGGGCAAGCGTTTTTTTTCGATTGCCTCTCTCCTGCGTTCGGAAGACCAGTACGACTGCTCGTTGTTGAACACACGTGTCGTGACGTCGGAGGACATCCGAAAAACTCCGCCTCGCGAAGATGGGAGCCTCGTTGTGCACTAGAAATGAAACCCAAAAAGTCCTCTGGGATCCTCGTTCAGGGTATGTTGTCTCGCTTGTTGTTCAGGGTACGCTGTTTGATTTTGACCGCTCATCATAATAACCACGATGTCGTCGTCGTGCGTCGGTCCGAGTTAACTCCGGGTAATACTGGCACACGCGTCTCCGACGAGAGCGCACCCGATAATCCTGATTTCGTACCCATTCACTGAGTGAGTCGAACCGCATGGAAGTCGGGTCTGCTGTCTGTCTTCTGACCATGCCATGACAGGAGCTTCCAAGAGGTGCGCCACCTCCCGGGAGCGTCTCTCCAACACCGCGAAGGATGAGTTCGACACTTTCATGCCCTCAGAGCAGAGATAGCTTCAGTCAAGACGACGAACTTCGTCTGATTTTTTCCGATTCTCAGCGGCTGCCACGGAAAATCTTCTGTGAGGGAGCGCAGGAGTGACGTCAGAGCACGTCGAGGAAGGTTTCATGCACGATTTTAAGGTCGTTCTCGACATGAATTGTAGCTGAGTTTTCAGCAAAAGCCAGTTTCCGATGAATCTTCGCACTGTCCATCTGCTTCTCGATGTGGTGCAGGACTAACAGGCGGGATAATATCCGATTCTCCGTCGGGAGCGCAACACGTCGCGAGACCTGGGTATCAAACACGGGCTTGAAATGTTTCTTTTCCGAGACGGAACGGCTGTTCAGTTGATCATTATTCATATATATTTATATATGAATTTGTCGTTAAAAGCCCCTGTAGCGGCTTGCTCCACGCCGTGAAGGCTTCCGGAACTTTTTATGCCCTTGAAGGTCGCCTCAAGGGAAGTCGGCTTATATTCGAAGTTTCGCTTCACGCTCGCTTGCCGCGGTTTCGATTAAGAACTCTCTGGCACTATTCTCTACATTTGTTTACTGAGCGATTGAGTTACTTCAGGAAGCCCGACCGACATTAGGCTCAAGTCAGGTTGATGCTCTTCATGGCCCCGTGGGGAACCAAGGTTCGGAATGATGCTCATAATAATCTGTCAACGAAAGGCTCATAGACCTGAGAAGCTTTCACCTGCCGGCACTGATGAGATGCCGATTCGCAAGGCGAAATGGAGCTATCAGACAGGTAGAACCAAAGTTACATGTGGCTGACAGCAGCTCCGTACCGAGCGGCTCGCTTCGTCAGCGACGACTCGGACCCTCCCGCAAGTTCTAGCATTGCATCGCTAATTCCGATTATTAATGATAATTAATCCTATCGAACGGGGGCGAGCCCAATTTTCCGCGATCCATCCGATATCGATTTCCAGCTCCATGCCACTGGAAGCAGGGTCCTCCCTGGTGAGGATCGTAGAGAAGCGGAGTTCCAGAGGATGGTTTCAGCTAGGGAAATCGATGTGCCCCACAAAGAATATTTCCAGATGGGAATTCTGACGTGCGGGACCGGGAAACGCCGAGTAGGTGGTCACCGGCTGGGATGACGTGCTAACGGAACGAGATATTTTCCAGGGGTGATATCGCTCTGATAGGTTTGGCCGTCATGGGTCAAAACCTCATCTTGAACATGAACGACCACGGATTCACGGTTGTCGCTTACAACCGGACTGTCTCCAAGGTCGAAGATTTTCTGAACAATGAAGCCAAGGGAACGAAAATCATCGGTGCCGCGAGCCTAAAGGACATGGTCAACAAATTAAAGAAACCTCGTCGTGTCATGCTGCTTGTAAAAGGTACAGCGACAGCCACAAGGCATCGATCCTTGAGGGGGCAGAATCCGAAAAAACTACCACCGTTCACTGACAATGAGTCTTCGGCGAGTTACAGCTGGATCGGCGGTCGATGACTTCATCAAACAGCTTCTGCCTCTCCTCGAACGCGGTGACATCATCATCGATGGAGGGAACTCCCAGTACGAGGACACCGAAAGACGCGTGAAGGAGTGTAAAAGTCAGGGGATTTTGTTCGTTGGCTCCGGTGTATCCGGCGGGGAAGAAGGGGCTCGTTATGGACCTTCTCTCATGCCTGGTGGGGACAAAGACGCCTGGCCTCACATAAAAGCCATCTTCCAGGGCATCGCCGCAAAGGTCAGTCTGCTTTGAAGTCTTTGGATGTTGAGATCGCAATAACAGTCTTTCCAGAGAACCCATTCAAACTTATCGTTGCTTCAAGGTGAATGACGCGAAGGATCAGAACATAGTCGAGCCGTGTTGTGATTGGGTCGGTGACGGAGGATCAGGTCATTATGTGAAGATGGTTCACAATGGTATAGAGTACGGCGATATGCAGCTTATCTGTGAGGCGTACCAAATCATGAAGAGCGCTCTTGGTAAGTTCTCCCATAATTATTATAATATATATACATATATACATATAATTATTCTCCCTATCACGCCGCTGAGCCGGGGAGAGCGTCACTGACATCGGTCGTCCCAGACGAGAATGGAAACTTCCGCTCGCGCGCGAAATCAAACAAAGGTCTCATGCCCACCGTCCGTTGTAGGTATGACTCCGGATGAGATGGCCGATGTTTTCGAGGAGTGGAACAAGGGGGAACTTGATTCTTTCCTCATCGAGATCACCGCAAAAATCCTCAAGTACAAGGATACCGATGGTCTCCCTCTCGTCGAGAAGATTCGGGACACCGCCGGGCAAAAAGGCACTGGTAAATGGACGGCAATCGCCGGACTCGACAAAGGGATCCCGGTGACACTGATCGGTAGGTTTTCAAAGGCTATCGTTTCGACGAATATCCGCAAAATCTGCTGAGGAAACATATGTTACCAGAATTAGAAGCTCCCTCGCATTCGAATAACCTTTCAACTTTCAGCGGAATCTGTATTCGCTCGCTGTCTGTCTTCATTGAAATCTGATCGACTCGAAGCGGCTAAGCTGCTGAGAGGACCAGCGGACGCGCGATATCATGGGGACAAGGCTCAATTCATCGAGCATATACGGCAAGCCCTGTATGCATCGAAAATCGTTTCCTACGCTCAGGGTTTCATGTTATTTCGGGAAGCCGCTAAAGTTTACGGTTGGAGTTTGAACTACGGAGGGATCGCGCTCATGTGGCGAGGCGGCTGCATCATCCGCAGGTGAGCTTTGGATGTTGATGGGACAAGGAGCGGATAAACTTACCTTACAATCAGTCTTCTCGGATAGCCTGTGCTCATGCAGCCTGAAAAACTGATGCATTCCGGTCAACCGTCGTCAATTACCCTTTTCCTCAAACACAGCCGTTTCTTGGGCGACATAAAGAACGCCTTCGACAAAAACCCAGGATTGACGAATCTCCTCCTCGACGAGTTCTTTACGGAAGCCATCCACCGATGTCAAAGTTCGTGGAGGACAGTCGTAGCCACGGCAGTTCAACTCGGAGTCCCAACTCCCTGCTTCTCGACAGCGCTGGCCTTCTACGACGGTTTCCGCTCGGAGAGAGTTTCCGCCAATCTCATACAGGTTTGTCGATTTCTCATTTTCTACCAATCAGGTAAGATACGCGCGATGCTTGCTCGATACTCACTCGATGCTGCACTTCACAGGCGCAACGAGATTTCTTTGGGGCTCACACCTACGAACTGGAAAACGCTCCCGGAAGCTTCGTCCACACTAATTGGACTGGAACTGGAGGAAACGTAGCCTCATCGACGTACAATGCCTAAGCCGCTGGGCCGGCGCAACCAGTCGAGGAAATTTTCCTTGGCGGACCGCTCGTTTATGATGCTTCCCGTTATAGGAGGAGATCTTCACTTGGCGACTCAGTGCTATGTTGTTCGCTGTACCGGAATCACACATAGAACAAACTGTAAAAACTTGCCACACTCTCGACTTCGAATAAAAGTATTTTTCCAGTAATTCCAATCTCTCGTCCGTTCTTTCTGCTGCCAGCCAGAAACGCCTGAAGAAGAGGTAGAAAACGACGAGTACAGCGCCGACCCTTGGAACACGCACCCCGTGTAGTTCATGGGGGAATTGGGAGACCCTCGAACAACCCAATGTTGCCGGAGTGTCGAGACGCCGAGCGAAATCCGATGTATTGGATATTGGAAGCGGCTCCCGGAAGGTGGACATAAATTCGAGTCTCTCTGTCTCAAAGTACAGCGCGGAAGTTCGTGAATGCAGGAGCGCGAGGCTGGCGACGATGACTTTGGAAACGCCTAAGCATCCATAGAGTTATAAATGTATAACATGTAGCATAGGAGGCAGAATACGGTGAAATGTGTCAGTACTTCCGAGAGCCAATACTTTGAAGATAGGGCCCTGTTTATCAGCTCCTGAGCCCCGAATCCCGAAATCAAAAATCCGATTGAGCGAGAAGTCGGGCTCAGACAGAGCCCGCTATTTAGCGTTCCAGATATCCTCCTCGACTGGAAATGGATGATTGCAGGTAGCGCAAAATTCGTTCAATTACGCCGGACCTTCGAGGATGATCAACTTCATCAATTTAGAGCGGGCCACCGTCTCTGCACATCTCCCCACCCAGCCACCGAGCACCGAAGACCTTGTTGTTCAATCTTTGATCGAGAGACACCACGTGAGTGAGCTCTGAGTTCCGGCGGGACTCAGCTTGCACGCGTCGACGAGGGTAGCCTCCCCAATCCGCTCGCGGCTTCACGCTGACGTATCGAGAGCATTGGCTGAACCACAATGACCTGCGCTTATCTGGAATTCTCAGTTAGTTGTGGTCGTGTCGACTCCACCCGCTTCTATACCCTAATTGTATACGTAGCCGTCTTCGACGCTCCCATGGTAACGTAGGAATCTGTTTGTTTTCCCTTTCGAGTTCCTCATCGATAATAATCTGTGGAATGGTACTCCCATGCGTGCTCTTGACGCGCTGCAAGTTCTCGCCATTTCCCACAACTGGTGTTAGCGATTTGCTCCACTCCGAAGCGAGTGCCAACCAATGACTACGTCATTCCTAAGCAAGGAAGGGATCAGCCGGTTCTTATGAAGATGATGACGCTGAGTCCGGGAGAGTCGGGGGAAGGGGGTTTGTGAGCAGCGGAGTCCTTCACTCATGACGGGACCCCATGGCTCAAGGCTCAGGTTAAACGTCGCAGTTCGAGTGCATGTCGGAGGAAAATGTCGCGCCCGGAATCGTAGGGGACTGGAGCAAGGACGTCGAAGAAGCTCGACCAGCAGCGGAAACCTGTAAGGAAGATGATCTGCGAGCACACCGGATAACTCCCGCTCTTTCGCTTCAGTCTCCCTTCCACTCGCAGGACTCGATGAGATCTACGGTCGACGCGTCGAGACTGCATCCTCAGTAGCCGGGTTCGAACATGACCCGAAGAGAGAAGAATTTACGATGAGACAAGTGGATATTTTCCATGGTGCAGAGAACACTTCCAGAGGCCTCCAGCGAACCCCGCGCTCTTGGAAGTTCGATGACGTCACAGGGCTCGCTGCGAGCGGAGAGGGAGCTATCCTGTCGGCCAACCGCTCGTCCCCAACGGCTGCCGCGGCTGCTTTACTCAGAAGGGCCCTCTTGCTCCGGCCGCCAGCGGTCTAGAGTCAGTCTTACGCAGATCAGACCGGATCGACAACGCTCGCATTCCTTCTGGCCTAGGAGCTCGAACGGAGTTGGGTGAAATCGCCACAGCGTGTCCTCGACCGGTGATCCGATAGCACCGATGATCTTTCAATGACAGTCGCTGACATCGAACCATTCGTAAGTAGATGGGACTAGCGGAGTCGCCGTAGAACAAGAACCAGATCAGAGTGGAGTAATTTGACAACCATCAATATCGCCGATCTGTCTGCTCGTAGGTTGGCGACTCAGTCAGTCAGCCAGTTCGTCAGTCAGTCAGCTTTCCAGTTCGTGGGCCAACGACCGATCAGAGCGAGAAAGCGGGTCAGAGACAGTCTGTCGGGCGCACGGCCAACGCGATCAGGTAGAGACGAGTTCATGAGTTTGGTCCTGTAGAAATCGGCTTTTATTTCGAAGGGATTCAGACGACGCGTCAACCTCGATGCCCTCGTTATTGATCAGTTGTTCGAAGGACGGACCAAGCTCTCCCATCCGCAAAAAGGTGACTTCTTTCGGAAACAAAATCTTCGGATGTGCTCCGTCTCCTCATTTGCGACGTCGCAAGGCTGGAGGCAGGAAGCATTGCACCAATAATTCTCTAACAGCGGAGGGAGGACCCGGTGACACTTTAGAGATCTGTCACCGAATAATTGAAGAATGGCACCTCGACCGGAGCATCCGGAAGCAGCTCCGACACCGGGTAAGTGCACCAATCCACATCATGCTTCTCGAGAGGGATAAATTCCGACCTGTCTTACCGAGTACATTCGACTCGGACGCATCGAAGAAGTTCTAGGTAGGGAGAGGACTTGTCATGATTTGGAAGCCGCTTGCGGTCATCGAGGGGACAAACGAAGATAAGCTGGCTCCACACCGATGAGCGAACCGCATCAGTGGCTTCTATCGAAGGCTCGACTCGCGGCTCCGGAAACCTGTGCGGCATGAGTTTCTGATTCGCATGGCAATGTCAAAGTGTAATAGAATTCGATTCGGTCAGCGACCGCAGAGAAACTGAGCGCTCCGATCGTCGTAGGAGGGTATATATCGGCATATCGGCTTACGAGCTCATCGTCGGTCGTGTTCAGCTCTGAACAGTTCGACCCGATGAGCGAGCTTTCCTCAGGCGAAAGCATGCACAGCCAACTACTCAATTCGCTGGAGTGCATTCCGAGAGGGGTATCGGCATCAGATCCCCACTCTCGCCTACGGAGCCAGCTCCCAGCCACTGACAGATCGAGAGAGCTCTGCGAGAATGAATTGTGGACTCCTGAGTCAGACCGCCTCGGCTAGGTCTCGAAAGTGAATCATGGTGAAACTTGGTCAGGAAGTCATCGTCTGACTCTTGCCCCTCGGTCCTGCAGCCGTGCTCTCTATCCATGAATGCCTGCCATCCGCGACATGCCGGATATGACAATGTTACAGACTACGGATCAAGGAGAGAACCAACGAACACGGGCAAACACAGGCGTCGGATCTAGGAAATCGCATGAGACATTCCGCCGTTGAGATCGTTCCTGTCCTCCTCTCAATCACTACGAAGGGGCTTAAACTCCCTGCGTGACGCTCTACCGAGCTCGATCGAGAGTCCGTGTGCCTTGACTCCTCAATATATTTTCGGGTGAGCCAGAATGTCGAGGTGGCAATGTCTCGGAGCCCGATCGGAGTCGATGGACGCCCGTATCTCCCGAAGAAAAATCCTAGGAGAACGGTCCGCAGCTCCTCTCTCGTCTCCGCATCGCGGGATGTCCCACAGAGCCGGAGACGAGCCTGATTTCGCGGTCATTCCCATTCGGGATATCTCACACTCCCAATTCAAGCAAGATCGAATTCGATATTCCAGAATACAACATGTGTGGTATTTTTTCAGTGCGGACCCCGGTTGAGCGTGATTGTGTCACGAAGCAGACGGAGGGTACCGAAGAAATTTCATCGCCGAACCTGGACATCACTGAGAACGACATTGGTCGCGGCGAGGAGCTCCCCCTGCGGCCGAGCTCTGACGCGAAATTAGCCCGGAGCGTCAGTAATCGGACCGCGCGTCCCCAGAGATTCTTTCGGGTTAGTTCATCAATTCAAATATCGCGGCCAGACACACCGCGAGATCGAGGGGGCTGCGCCGCCGTTCTGCTTGCCACGAGAAACTCTTTTCGATGAAGAGAATTCCAAATACTCCGAGCGAGCTTATCTCTGAGTCTCTCATCATGCGAGACGAACGCTTCCCTTGCCAATCGGGACTCACGACGACCGAGTATTCGGAGTGAATCAAACCGCCATAAAAGAGCTCAAAGAAATGTAATTATTATCTTTCGACCTAGGCTCCCCCGCCAGATGGAGGATGGGGCTGGATGGTGCTGCTCGGAGTCGTTATAGGGAACATATTGATAATTGGTCACGCAAAGACCTTCGGCGTTTATATCACGACTCTCATTGAACGATTCGATGAAAAACCGTCTACAGTGGCATGGATCCAATCGATTCAGTTCTCGTTCTTCCTCGGCTTCGGTAAGATGGAACATCAGCTGTACCGTCAACACTATCGCGGGTTGCGGCATACGATTAGAACTCAGGGATTCACTCTTTTTAACGGAATTCTCACTCTTCTAGCTCCGATTGCCTCGATGCTCGCCGAACGATTCTCGCCAAGGACCGTTACCTTGGTCGGTGCAGTCATCGCGTGTTCGGGAATGGCGCTGAGTTCCAGGGCCAAGTCCATAGTCCATCTGTACTTTTCTTACGGAGTAATGATGGGTCAGTTGCGAAGAAAACATAAGAAATATTGGGGGTTCTTGATTCTCTTGATGAATGCTTCGGAGAGATTCCTCTCGATGCAGGTCTTGCGGCCGTATTCACCTTCACGCCGGGCGTCATCATGATTGCCAAGTACTTCGACAGGCGTCGAGGGCTGGCCAATGGTCTCGGGATGGCTGGCAACTCTCTCGGCGGTATATTCATGCCGATACTCGCCGATTTGTGAGTATCTCGAGGCGCGAACGATTCACGCTCACCGGAGGAACAGAAATTTCCGTTGCTCCAACGTATCAGGCGATACTTCCGCGGTGATTCGCTCCGGGTACTAATGAATGCGATTGCGTTCTTCTGCTAGCCTGATTTCGGAATATTCTCTACACGGAGGCTTCCTCATCATGGGCGGCATCTTATTGAACGCTGCCGTTGGGGCTATGCTATGGCGTCCCGTGGAAACGGTCAACAACGTTCGAGGGAGAACGTCCTCCGCCACCGCGAAAACTGTCCCTATCCCAACCTTGAGCGCTCAAGCCTCTACAGCGAACGAAAAAGTTTCAGCACCTCTGATACAAGACAACGTCACCGCTACGGACGACAAACTCGAAGCGGTCGCAATCCTCCCAGACGTAGGTTCCGAGGAGATGTTCTCATCAGGAGAAGGGGATTTCAGAGCGGGCGCCTGCGAGTACCCATGTGTGATCATTATCGGTGCTCGTGATATGCTGACCAAAGAGCTGTGTCCCGACGTTCCAGGAAGTGCCATCCGAAGTCTTTCAGCCGCCTAAGGATTTGATCATCCTGGACAACGCAGATAACTCGTTGTCTTCCGGCGCGAATGCGGTGAGCAACATCAGCTGTCCATTGCCTCTACCATCCTTATGCTCGACGAGCGTACCCGACATAAGCGCTCCGACAGCAGCGTCAGCGGTGAGGGACGTGCCAGCGAACTTTGAGGTTAGCCGTGGGAGAATTGGCCCTGAACAGTAGATGAACATAGCGACATTTGTATGAATATTCGCAAAATCGAGAGCAGAGTATCGACAAGTGCTCACTCTTCCTAGGTGCAGTCTCAGCCGTCCGCGAGCCCGCCCCCTCTTCAAGTGAACGGCGGCAGCCAGCGCAAAAACCGCGACAAAGTAGATCGATCATTGGAAACACAACAAAGTCTCGATCATCAATCAATTTTCTCGCAAAGCACGGCCTCCCTGTCATCATTCGTCTTCTTGTCGACATTCCACTTGGGACCGTCTTTCGGAACGGTGGAAGACATAACTAACCTCCGGTATGATGACGATGAGGAGGGTGCCATCGAAGACGAGGGGGATGACCAAGAAGATGAGCTAAACAACCTCGACGACGACTCTGAAGACGAAGACGACGATTACGACGTGTATGAAACAGTTCGAGCGAGAAGCGATCTCAAGGTGGACATCGCTGGCCTCCTTGCCGCCGGGAGCTCGGCGAACGAAACCACCTCGGCTCCGAATCCAGCACTGAGAGAATTCGGGGTTGTCCTCCATCCAAAGAAAGCGATAACGCCAGACCCTTCAACTGATATATCTGTGAGTTGAGACAATGCTGTCGACCTCCGGTTTGACGCATCTGTGATCTACATATGTGTTTCGCGCCCGAGTTCGGCCCGAATAATACCGAAGTTGGACTGAGGATTGAGCAGATAATCCGAGCAACCTTCTCGCTTCTGCAGGCCCTGAAGGACACGACCCCACAAGCAGTCGATGTGCCCCGGTCTCGCGCGTCCGGTAGGCAGCGGAAATCTGTTGCCGAGAAGCCCACGAAGCCGCAAGTGGCATCTGCGCGAAGACGCACTGTCCCTGCGAAGCCCCTCAAGCCGACTCCTCGGCAGCGGAATAAGTACTTCGACTTCTCGTTTTTCCGCCTACACGTGTTCTACGTTATGATGGTGCCACTGTTTCTGCACAGCATAGGATATACTACCATACAAATGTACACCCCGATGTACGCTCGTTCTCTGGGCTTTTCTACCTCAGATTCTGCCCGATGTCTTTCATTCTTGGCCTTCGCTGACGTCTTGGGTAAGCGCCTCTGGAAATCGACCCGAAATATGCATAGGTATTCTGGAGACAGATTTGTGGCAATCGAGAGCCCGAATCCAAATTTAATCCAGGTCGCATCGGAAGCCTCTGAGACCTCTCCGATTTTCAGGACGTATCGGCTGTGCCTGGCTGTCTGACCTCCAGCTGTGTAAGCGGAAGTATTTTTACATGACAGGCATGTTACTCTCGGGGATGGTGGCCTACTGTATGCCGTTCGCGAAGACGTACTTGCAACTTCTCATTTGTACCAGTGGATTTGGTTTGGCATCGGGTGCATACATTGGCCTGACTGTGGCCCTGTTCGCCGATGCCTTCGGCAACGATAAAGTGGCAAAAGCACATTCCATGGCAACGATGTGCACCGGCATCGCAGGATTGTCCGGAGGACCCTTCATTGGATACGTTCTCGAGAAAACAAGGAGCTTCGTCATCTGCTACTCGATTTTAGGGAGCTGCCAGATACTCGGTGGCTTGGTTTATTTCTTGGAGCCATGGGCGGCACAGACAGATACGAAGAAAATCAGAGCCCAACAATGGGTGTGAGATGTTAACGCGTTGTGCATTCAGTCTGTGAAATAATACTCCCAGGCTATTCATTACACATATGCATTTGTTAGCGTCGCAACTCGAACCCTAACCTCCCTCCGGAAAGTTTCCCGATTCGAGGGAGAGACATTGAGCTGATCATCAGGTTCCACGACGTTCTACATAAGCCTAGACCGCTTCGAGATATGGCGATCAGACGCATTCCGTGGTTACACTTACACTGCTGAAAATTATCTATTGCCGCAAGGCTCGGGTACACTTCGGCAGAGTTAATCCCCCGTATGGGAGCCGCACAACGCCAGAGAAGCGGAGGTAGTGCAACACTCGAGTCGTCTGGCGAGGAGGATCTGGCTGTGCTCGGTCTCGGATCGAACCCGTTTTGTTTCAAGGAAAGGAATTTCCTTTCGCAAGCCGGAAGCTAATTATCTCTCTGGCCTCCATAACTGGCTCTGGAATCGGATCTGTGTATTCAAAAGATACAAATACGAGTGTTGAAGCACAATATCGGATCGGACTCTCCGAATCGAATACAGTCGGGAACACGCGAGGAGAGCCTCCCTACAACAGAGCAATTTCGAAGAGGTCAAAGGTAGTTCGACAGTATTTTCCGTAGGTTCTGTAAATCCCTTCAGACCCTATTCAATGTACAAACCACATCATGGTCTGAGCCTCCTTGCATCAACCGGAGGGTTCGATTGATTCGTCGAACGATGCAAGATCGAGCATAAGCTTCACAGCGAGGCTCAAATCAATGCAGTCTCGGGTTGTTGATATTTTCCGGTAACTTCTCGAAGTCTGAGAGAATCGTTCCACTGAGAATCGTCTCTAGCGCGCACATCGTGATTCCCCCAGGAAACGGTTCTATTTGCTCATAATTCATAATCATTGTTGAGTGTTTCTTCTCATGAATCGTCGCTGGATTCATTCCATAGATCTTATGAAGACTGAGTGAGCTGCCGTTACACGATGTCTCGGCGACAATTTTGATTGTTGGATGAAGGAGTCAAATGCCCAATCTACTCCGGATGAAAATCATTCCAATCTGACCTGTCGGAGTACGCGCATTGGGCACTGCTATATCCTGTACATCTCGCTCTGACCGCAGCGAGTGTTCTCGGGTTCTGGCTCGTGGAACACTGATGGGAAAGAATGTGAGCAATTCATTTTCTCGCCGGCTGCTTGCGAGCATAACCATCATGCGGGGAAGAGACCACAATCTTGGAATATGACTCGAATTTGCTTGTTCGGCCCTCAAATGTCACCCGGTGACAAATTGTTAGACGTGTTACTAATCGCTGGTCGTTTAGAAGCCATTTCTTGGTGGAGCCTTGTGGACCTCCGATCATATGCGCCACGAACCCGAACTCGCGGGAGTGCACCGAGTAATAGATACATACATGCAGACATGCCTTGAGTCAGCTGTTGATCGAATGCTCCATGATCATGTACAAATCGTAGTCTAGAGCTCCTTGTTTCTGAATCGACGTGAGTCGCTCACAACGATGAACGGATCAATTGAAGTCAGGGGAGGAGATGTGGTTGATTTTAATACATTCTCTAAATTAGAGCAGTCACAACTTTTTCCTCGATCCGTGAGTCGGGTCGGGAGCATCACGGCATATCTTAGGATACGGGGAATACGAGAAAACAGAAAAAAAAATACGCTGTCATCCCGTGAGTGACCTGATCAATTTCGAGGAGATCCATCATTATCATTTCTCGTGTCCGTTTCTGAGAGCCGAGCTCAGACGACGGAGGATCGCGCTCTCAAACTGTCCTCGAAGAAGCAAAACGCTCGATGGATGCAGCTCGCATACCTCTAAAGCTGAGTTCCAATTTATTTCTCGATAAATGGACATTCACTCCGCGTTCCGTAGTGTACTACGGCAGGGCTGCGGGCTACGCATGAGCAGTGTTTCCATCCAAGCACTGTTTTTTAGGTTTTCTGCATCGGATTCCTCTAGGTTAAGATCTGTTTCGTCACCATATTGTCAAGAGGTATCGTATTTTCTCGAGTTCTACGAGCATCCTCATCTCGCTAGTGTCTTCTCTCGCTGCGGGGTGGATCCGTTGCCTGGCTGGGTTGAGCCAGAATCTTATATCCGCTCTCATTGAAGAACGGGTTTCGCTCATAGCACGGGAGGAACATTCGAAATCTGTCCAAAGCTTGTAACGGAGGGAAAGTATCGTCATACGATTCTTCCCACGTCTTCAGATCATGATTTCCCTGGTGTTTGAAACTTTTCAGGAGATGTCAGGCTGAGAGCTGGAGATACGAAGGGTGCGCTGCGGCTTTTCTGGGTCATTGTCATATGTACCTAGGTGCTCCCACGCGCAAACAGAGAGGTCCTTTGGCTTGATCAGCTTCATTATTGCTAGATGTGCCCTAGACTCAGGGATTGCTCATGAAGGACTCGGGAGAAGCTCCGAAGTTTTCAGGGGAGCAATGGAGCTGTCGTCACAAATCATGAAACAACGATAGAGAGGCATCGAGGGAGAACGTGAGAGCATTGAATATATGAACTTGGATATGAATTCGTCAGGGATCGCTGTCTCGCGTAATTGGTGTGCGTCTGTTTCGCATATATCTCGTCGCCTACCTGCTCGAGTCGGCCCCGAAAAGGACATTGATATCGACATGGATCCAAGGGCCCAATTGACAGGCGTACCCGGAAAAAAAAAGCGGAGAGGGAGGGCTTGGTCCGACGGGCCATGACCCCCTCGAAAGTTTTCAGTCGATATCCTGGATATCGAAGGCCCTGAGAGGGCGCGTCACTATTTTATCCCTCGCCGCCCCCCTCCTTCTTAGGAAAAATATACGATGTGCGCGCCTGGTACTGGGACTGTGACATGTGAAAATGTGCAGAGAAAAATCTTGAGGCGCTCCTGAAGGAGACCACGCTGGGTCATCGGATAGGAGCGGGCGCGTCGTGGCCGCCGCAGTGCGCCGTGTGAGCATTATACGTCTGCTTCATGCTTCAGTTCTCTGGATCTATCGTGATCGGCCATCATCCAGGTTGGTATTATTCCTCTGATGGGGCTAGACGGAGAGTTCACTGGCGGAACCTTAGCACCGAACTCCGAACTATCCTCTCTCGGTGCCGGACGATCCATCTTCTCCGCAGGCTTCCTATCATCATCGTGAGCTCCTCTGCTCAGACTTCGCTTTCAGGGGGCACCAGAGTCGGCATATTGATGAAAGTCTCACCCGCCAGAGATCGGCGAGCATGCTGTGACCTCGGACCGTCTTGGTAATAGCGACTGAGCATCGATGACGAACTCTCGGAAGAAGGCTTCTGGAAGGAGCGCACTCGGCGCACTTGTGTCATCCCTCGAGGTCTAATCGGAGACCGCGACCGGGACCTTCCGGTCCCTCTCCGCTGAGGTGGTACTGTTGACAGCAATTCGCGCTGATAAGACAGAACGGAACAGGGTGATTCTCGGGGCGACCTCGCCTCTCCGAATCGGTAGGCTGCGAAGAGCGTGTCGGTAGGGCTGACCCCAAGGTCATCCTACATGCGACTGCTCTGTACCGTGTCCAATTCCCCGTCATCATCGACGACGGGTCCGCAAGTCATTCTGTGGCCCCCGAGTCCAGCCGTGCTTCCGCCGGAAAACTTGCGCTTGACTCCTCTGACGCTTTCGTCACTCCCTCGGTTCCCGGTTTCCAGATCAAGGATGTCTGGACGTTTGCGGTAAAGGAAGGATTGGAAAGATCGACCGAGTAAAGACGCGTTTCCAGGGGACGCAGCGAACTCGGCACGTGGAGAAGGGAAGTTGAGGGCCGTCACAAGACCAGGGATTTCCCCGCTCAGAGAGTCTCCAGAGGTTGGGGGAGACGGAGTGAGGAGGACCGGCAAGGAATGCCGTCGGTTCGGAGTGCCTGCTGACGGAATCGAACTAGTTGTAATGTGGGTTTCATGGCCCAGCGATTAGCTCTACGCGGCGATAAGAAAGAAGATTTCCTACCGGGGACGGTCAAGGCAACCCCGCGACTGGAATCTGCTGAATCTTCCCTGCAGAAGGACAATAGATCTCGCTCTGTGTCCTCGAGAAGTTGTTTCGTTCTGTAGAGATTCTGACTCGATTCTTCCTTGAGCACTTCGACGAGCGTCAAGAGGCGTTCGATCTCGCCTGTCTCGCTCCCTTCGCTACTGGGATGTTCAACAATTGTGACGCGGTTTCCTGGACGACTTCCGGAGAGTCTGTAGCCGCCGTCCCGTTCATTCTCCTCCACCATGTTACCTGGAACGGGATCTCATGGAGAAATTTGGCTCGCAGGCTCGGCTATTGCATAATGTCCATCATACTACGCAGGATAGATCTTGTATCGTTGAGAAAATGAGATTGAGTCTCTCTCAGAGCTCACTGAGAGTCAAAAGGGTCATATAAGGAACAGAGCGCAAGGATGGTGGAAAATAGTTCGCACCGAAAGAACGGCACTTCCTCGGTGATGGTCGGGTTTTGCGCTGCTTCACAGCGAATTCCTGGAGAATTTTCTGCATTTCATCAAGTCGAGCCCCGAGTTTCTGTTGCGTGTTTTGGAAGCTTGAGGAGAGACGGTGTTCCATCCGACGCACCTATCGTGGAATGCAGTCAGTCAAATAATGACGTCCTCGATCGTATCTGGTCTGTTCTGGCCGGTCCTCCACCGTTCGTCGTACGTACCTTTTTCGAGCGCATTGCTCTACTTATATAATTGAGGATCATAGCTAGATAGCCCAGCCCGAATATGATCCACAGCACAACGGCAGCCTTGTAAATCCAGATGTAGTCACCCTCGAAATTGCCTGGAAATCAGGGGTAGGGCAACGTTTCAAAAGCTTCAGAGAAATCGATCCGAAGTGAAGCCCTGAGCTGACGAGGTAATTCTTGACATCATGAATTAGTACTCTACCGTGCTGAAATCACCTGCTACGTAATCGCCGAATCCTATGGTGGCGAGAGAGATGAAGCAGTAGTACAAAGCTTCTAAGTAAGTCCAGCCTTCGATGTACATGAAAAGTCCGGCGGGGAGGATCAGAAATACCACGAGCCAAGGGACGAGAAACGTGGCTGCGTTTACCGCCAGAGCGATCTTCGATGTGTAGACCTGGATTCGAGGCGTGGATACGTCGGAAATTACATTATGTCGGAGACGGGAGAACGGAGATCAAGAGTCGCATGGGTAGGTCGGTCTTACCTTTCGGGCAGCATTGATTCGTTTAACAAGATGCTTACTAAAATGGTCACCAATCGCAGCGAGTAAGATACCTTGAATGAAAAATTCAGGAGTTCCCCCTGTGTCCGTGCACAGAACATGTCTGATCTGATCTTCACGATATTTCCTGACCTCCGTGAATAACGAGATTATCGTGTCTGTAAGGTCCGAGGCTGGGAGGGGACAGGACGCCTCTGATCTCATGCATCACCAACGGGCCGGACCGCATACCAAGAACTAGGTATGTTTCATCATTCATTACCGACGAGCGATTGCTTTCCTGGACCGATCTAGGAAGCGAATGTGCTCGAAGGCCTCATGACGAAGACTTGAAGAAGTCGCCGGCAATAGAGATCGATTCACGCCGAACCGCTCGAGCAGCGCCGTCGCGACCCTTCACGTACCGGCGTTCACAGAGAGGAGTTCCCAAAGTGGAGTTCACAGCTCATTCGACGCATGTTCGATCATTGATCATGCGGCATGCTCGTTGAGCGGCCCCGAATAAATCGACCCCATAACTTGATCCCAACAAATGCTTGCACGCTGTGCCATTGCCGGAAGCTCGACTCACCGGTGAGAGGGACGCCTATCATAGCGTATGCAACACAGAAAAGTCTTCCTGACACCGTTGACGGCGAAACGTGTCCGTATCCTATTGTAGTAACGACAGTTATTGCGAAGAAAAATGAATTGTAGAAGTTCCAATTGACGTTCGTCTCACGTCCTGACATGTCGAGCAAATTCCGAGATCGAGCGTTCGCTAGTTGTCGTATCATTTCTACCATTTCTCGTTTCGTGAAGTTCGGATGATGAAGCTCCTCGAGCTTGTCTGAGGAAGAAACTGAACTTGAGATATCGAACATTTGTTGGTATGTAGTCAGACTGTATCAGCTGAGGACTCTTCTACGAAAGAGGGGAAGTGCGACCCTTACGGGATGCGCTCTCCCGTATGGATGTTACTTTACTCTGCCGCGTTAGTTTACTCGCTGCTCTCAGCGCCAAGAGACCCGTTTCCGTGCGGATGTCAGCCTCGGACGACTTACCAAAAAACTTTCTTCTCAGTTGAACGAGTTCAGCTCGCGTTTCCAGCTCCTGAGGACCTTCGACAGCCATGAAAACAGCACCGCCAATCACAACGAAGAGAATGAAAACGACGAGCAAAGCGACAACCTCCTTCTTGCTCATGGCAATCGCCTGATTTTGGAATAAAAATCGCCTCGTGAGCGAAATACATATACAGAAATGTTTCATACTTCGAGTTCTCCCCGTCGCGCTCCATTGAGGAGGGTTGACGACCGTCAGAACAATGATGTCGTGGACAAACATTTCAAAGTTGTCATTCGTCGAGAACTTTTTTGGACCAACGCCGCAAATGACTTGATGACGAAAAAGTTCTGGTGAATGCGATGTTTTCGGATGCACTTGACGAGAGTCTGACCGACGGACTGCCCTCCGCTTGATTGAGCGGAAGTGATCTCCGTAGTCGTCGTTGAGCTGAGTCATCGGTGGGAAGGAGCGCCCAAATCGTTGCGCCCTTCCGTGGGCACGAACAAAAGCTGGAACACTAGAGCCCGCTCGTCACTCATCATGAGACTACCCGTGAGGATGGGCGCACGGCAACAGAGTGTTTGAGAAACAAGGCGAATAATCGACTTCAGACGGGAACGAGAATCGGGAAGCTTTCAGACTACCCAATTACGGGATACTTGTACTTATGGAATCAGCCTCCCTTAACTTTCGAGGCCGTAAAATGCATTTCTGGTGGCACCGGTGGCAGATTGCAACCCACGATAGAGCATAATTCTCGGAAAAAGTGATTTCCCCATCCGATTCTCACGCAGTTGTCAATCCCACTTCAACACAATTGTTGCGTCTCTCATTCAAGCTCGACGATATTTGTCCTCTTCGTCTCATCGCTGTTAACCTTGTCGGCCAGGAAGACTATTCTCTTCGTCAAGCGTCGAAAGAAGAGACTCACATCCTCTCTCCGACACAACTCGCTCCAATGCTGACAGTGGTCTCGCTTGACAGAAAGCCGGAGATTGACACCCGATGACCGGCGAAAATCGCGCTCGATCTGCCCCGAAAATTTTTTGAAGATCAAACATTATGCGCCATGATGAGCTCCTATCCGACCCTGCTGCTCTGCTCAGCGGGAGCGAGGCTGCTTGGTCTAGCATGCCCCAAACTTAAGCACCGAACTTCTGAACCGACTCGGCTCACAGCTTATCATAAGGCCGTCTCGAGAATTTAGTCGATATGTAATGCCTCGTTGAGGTGGAGAAGAGAAGGTGCTGCGGCTCCAACAGGGCTAGTCCGTCACTCATGCACGAAGTTTGGAAACATTAATCGTAGTATTTTTATTAGGAACCAGATTTCCAATTTGAGCAAACCAAAAAGAAAGAGCACTGAATGATCTCGGAGAGGATAGAAGAACGAAAACTCACGTCGGACGGAAACGGGGCGCCGGGCTCTAACTTTTTATGGAAGTGCACGGTTTTTCTGGCTTTATTTGGGCATTCGGTAGGCAATGCTGACGTCTCCCCGGGCGTTTTTTCTTTGTCCTCATCGCCTCCGTGAAGCGTCTGCACGCTCGGAACCTTACACATCGTGCAAGCCCTACAAAACAAACTGAAATGAATGGGGACTGGGTAAAGAAAAAAATCACGTAGAGGAGATGCGACCGTAAAGGGAAACCTTTAGGGAAGACGCGACTACGAAAGAAAAACCTGTAGGAAACATGCGACCATTGGGAGGAAAGCTGACGTTATCTTTCCTGACATGGAGTGAAACAGAGATGTAAGGTGCAGAAGAGCCAGATGTATTTACAGGTCCTCGGGCAAATAGCACTCGGGCTCGGGGTGGGAAACATGTGTATTCTGGTATGTATCTCCCAGATAGAGGACCAATGCGGGCACAGAGAAATCAATGCGAATTCAATGTCGCATTGGGCCCCGGCCCGACCAGCGGAGCTGTTTTTACGTATCTTCCCGAACTTTTCAAAATGATTTCGGAGGCGTTGGAGACAAAAAAATGTATCCACTGCGGTGGCGCACGGGCCGAAGTTCGAAGCCGCTAATTCGAAGTTCAGTGGAGCGCGCTACGACCCCACTTTCATTATGAGGCTCAAAAACTCGATAACTTTCCCTTGTTGCGGAATCGGCACGCCGAGCCCCGCGGGGTTTATCAAGGTGCCGCCGCGCCATGATCAAATCAGCAGTGACTATCATGGATCATCCATGACCACCACCTGGGAGGCCCGTGGGGAGATGTATAGACGTCGAAGGGTCGACTAGAGTTGTGAATGCGTCAGTGCAAGACCTGACTTCGCGACCAGAACAAAAGTTGCGAGATCTCAAAACTTCCTGAAGCTCCTCCCAGGCTTGCACACCCTGTAAAAAGTCTTGACTCCGAGTGAGTATGAAACCATCGGAGAAGGCTGATCTGGCAGCCTACAATCGTCGATCAAGAATGCATCAGCCGCTTTCCACAGCGGGAGCATGACTTTCTCTGTAGTGGTCCAGAAGACCGACCCCCATCGGCCCACGATGACAAAATATTACGTGGCTCTGAATTGGTGCTATAAGTGAAAAATGGAATGATAGAACGAAAGCGCTTCCAGCCGTCTACGCTCAGTCGATACCCGGGCCGGGCCATTCGGAGTGCACACCTGATCCTCTGCATTCAGAGCCGCAACGGAAGAAGTACACACAACTTCCTTCAGATTTCGCTCCTGAAGCAGCTCATCCGACATCCACAAATTCTCGTGAAAAGCGAATGGCGGACTTTGAAGAAGCGGTTCGTCATGTGTTCGCGGCAGGATCGCAGCAACACTTGACCTCAAATATTGTACTTTATGTGACCGCTTCCTGACCCAGAGACGGTTTGATAAACAGTCTGCTGCCCTGTACGTCTGGTTCAGAATATCCAATGTTAAAAAAGCCGAACAAGATGAAAGCTGACGGTTTCGACGGACGGATCGAAGGACGACTCGAGAAACAAGTATCTAGAAGAAACGTGGTACGCTTTCCGAGAAAAGCCATAAGATGAGCGAAGAGGACTCCCGATAGTGGTATAGATCGCTATCCTGACACAGTCCTCGCCCGGTCGGATTATCGCGACTTCATGGTTCGATATCCTCCGGAAAGCCGTCGGCAGAATCAAGTCTCTGAGCCAGGATTCACAACGGAACCCATTCTGTGTCGTGTTACTCCGATCGCGAATTCGGTCGGAGAGGGCATCCCTGAGCACCATGGCAAGTCAGCGAAAATAACACCCCTCGATCAGTTTATCAGGACTAAGAGCACGATACCGGCGGCCAATCTTCAGAGCTACAGTCGAGCCCTCGGAGGGAGAGCGCTCCCCACTGGAAATTTTCTGGTCGAAGCGCAGGGTGATCCAATCGGCGCAGACTCTCTCAAATGTTCCTCTCAGGATGAGGAATCATGGAAAACCCGCAGGTCTAGCTCGCTCGCTCTCTCTCTCTCTCTCTCTCTCAGGATGTCGCTAGAATCGGAGAGACCGCTCCCTGAGAAGGGAGCCCGGACTTAGAATCCCGACCGATGGACTCGAACCCCCGTGTGACAGCAATCGCGTAACCAAGCGTCCAGCTCATGACGGCGAATCCGATTGGGGGCCGGGGCATGGTGATCAGAGCGTCTGAAGACCACAACGGATGTCGGGCTGCCTGGAATTGCTGCGGACCGTGGAACCGACGCGGGGACCGAACCGCCCTCGGAAGAGAAAATATTGTATAGCGTCAGAATAGGCGGATATATTCTGTTGTAGATAGAGTTCTCCCACTCGGAAAGGACAGGGTCAGTCCGAGTCGGCCGCCTCACGGCCTCACCCCTCAAGCTCTCATGACGGAAAATGAGAGGCCGGATCGCGCACATCAGCCAACAGAACGAGATTCCAATTATGGCGGATGATATGAGCGAGTCGAGGGTCAGATGAGCGACCAAGCGAGCCAAGGAACCGAGTCTGTTCCTCCTAGATGAACGCGCCGGCGCCGTAGAAAGAATCGGAATCCACGGTCACTGAGTTAGACCGACCAAGTCAAACGCTGGCTGAGGTCGGGTGATATTTGGTACGAAAATATGTCCAGACATCGGCCACGGATGTCGAATTTCTGTGAGAGTGATGATAGCTCGACTCGATAGGGATCCGTTATTGGAAAATCGAGCTCGGGGATGGAGTCGTCCGAGACAACGCCGGATATTCATTCTGCATGAGAACACATGAATACTCAGAGGAGCGCTTCGTTCTCTTCTCGAATACGCAGGCAAGGAGAGGTACGCTGCTTGCGGCAGAGGTATATTCTCCAAGATCAGCCCTTTAACAATCATCACTAGGTGCTGTGAGAAATACCTCATATCTCCAAGGACACTCCGAGCTAATTTTTCAATAGATATCGGAAGTGCTAACTGGTTTCCGTCGATTTGACCAGAAATCTCTTCTACGGAGCAGACTGTCCATAAATACCTTTTTTCCGAAGCGAGGCTCGTCGGGTGAAATTCCAAAAAATGATCGTCGATCGACACGGTATCTAACTGAAGGAGCACCGGGAGATCACCGTACAGTCGAATCCAGACAAGTTTTTCATTTCCGCTAGTGTCTGGAACGATCCCGCCTAGAAGCTGTCGGTGATTCCGAAGCGCGCACCGAGAAAGGGGTGAGTTGATGAAAGGGTGTTCTTCGGTTGTCATTCCGATGGCAGCTCAAAATGTTGCTCACTACCACATCCAGCAGCACCGGCACCATTTTGTCAGCGAGGAATAACTTCCAGAATTCTGACGGCCCGTGATGCTACCTGAGACTATACGGCATTTTTCGAATGTAATCGATTTTTTTCTCGCTCGGATAAATCGATTCGGTACAGCCTCGCTACAACGAGCCGCGTCGCAATGAATTTTCACCATGACTTACAATTTTTCCCCTATATTGGTCAGTCCCCCGTGGAGCTACTAGTCGCACAGGCTCGCTGTGCGACTACGATCATTCGTCCCAACGAGTCGTTTTGCTGGCGCCAGCGTCTTCTTTTTAACGCGGTGATACGGTGTGATATATTGTTTTTGAATTTTGCAATGTTATCAGGAGTGTCAAGAAACTCGCCACCTTTGATATAAAACGGACTCGTGACGCTCGTCCGAAGTAGGAATTCCGCTCGCGAAAGCGGACTGCCATGGTCAGAGGCGTGGCCAGGATTTTTGTGGGGGACGAGGCCGGGTTCGGATCTGTATGGCGCTAGAATCCGGGATTGTGAGCCGCTCCTATACCTCAGCATTAGAAAACAATATCCTAGGGAAAGAGGCTAGAGCACCGTCCAGCCCCAAGGAGGATAAGCTTTAGGCCATGGTCGAGAGCTCGGCGTGGGTTTGGCAGAGCATCACCTCAATTTCCCGCGTCTCTCATCGAGGATGCAAAGCTGACAGCTCCAGTAGACTCTTCTTTGCTCCAAGGGTCATGAAATGCAAAGAACTTGCATGCCTGTGATCATTACGAGTTATCCACGCGATTATGAATTATCGGAGACGTACAGAATGGTGGGAGCGTGAATATTTGAAAAACGTTGGATGAGATGACTCCCGACCTTCTGAATGTCGTCTTCGGGGTACATGGTCGCTCGATTCGAAAGCTCCGCCGACTACACGTTCCTGACGATGGATTCTTCGCCGGAGAGATAAAGCGATCCGTGTCAGGCATTTGATAAAAGGATAGAGCGCGGGAGAAGTCGCTCCACAGATCCACTGAAGAATGTTATTTTCGCGTCTATTCGATTTCGACTTTCAACATTCGGTGTCAAGAGAATTCTGTCCCAGAATGCAGAAAGGAAACTTCCGCAATCACTCGGAGAGGATCGAAATATTCTCCGCAATCGTTGATATTCATCGATGACAACTGCCTGCCTATTCAACACTCCGCGTTCATATACGTATGTATTTATGAGCACATGGCGACATCATGGAGGAGCGAAACGAAAGGGTCTCCGGATGCTCGTGCAAGGTCTGATCGTGGCGATGAGTCCCCCAAAATTTCTGCGAACCTGTAACTGAATTACTTAGTCAAGACTCTAGAGTCTTGACTCTTTCTAGTCGAGGAAATTGGCTGCAGTGGTACCACCCTTGTGCCCTTCGACGACCATTGATCCCTTGGTATGTACTGCCACAGAATATCAGCCATTCATTCCGGACGAGTCGAAATTCATTTCGCGGGAGAAATTCTCCTCCAGGCTCCTCCAACGATCGCGAAAGCTCGCATAGAGACATATGGGACGAGAACACTCGTCATCAGTCGATCAGGTCATAGGTATATATTGTCCCCCCATTCTATTGAATACCAAGTTGCATATTTTTGACGCTGCAGTCATCGGATAGTCTCCTCGAACAACTTTCTGAGCAACCCCGATGCGAGTAACGACCATACGAAATGTAACGAAATGTAAATAAACGAAAAGATCGACGAACTTCAAATGTGTACTTCC